CTTCATACCTGTTAGAGTAACTTTTATTTAAAAAGATAAAATGTAACACAATCGAGCAATAAAGGTGAAGGAACCAAAAACAGAGCTTCATAGAGTGCAGAGTGACCAATAGAACGGGATGAAGGGAAATATCCTTAGAGCCAAAGAGGGCACTGAAGAAATGAAAACACAGATGAAATGGATACAGGAAATACTAGTTAGAAATCATGGTGCACAAAGCACTTAGGACTCTAAAATAAAGATTAAAATAATTTGCTAATGAATATCACGTATAAAATGAAAGAAAATGTGACATAAAAACGTAAAATGAAGGGTAGTAAAAATACAGAGGTATGCAATTGAAGTTGGTTATCAGTTTAAAACAGACTGTTTAAACATGTAAAACAAAGCATAAATCTGTAGTAGATAAACAAAAGACAGACAAAAGAACAGTACAGAAAATCACAAAGCACAAAAGAAGACAGAAAAATGGAAATAAAGGAGCAACAGGTACACAAAAGCCAAAAAATAATGAACAAAATGGCAATCACAAGTCCTTACCTATCAATAATTACTTTAAATGCATGAAATTTTCTAAACAAAAGATATTCAGTGGCCATGTTCTTTGACCCAATTATACACTGCCCAAAGAAACCCACTTTGCCCACAGATTGAAACTGACAGGCTTTTTTATGTGGTGCCTCACAGGCAGTCAGCTATACCACGATGAAGGCACTGGCTGCCAAAAACTCATTGAACTGGGTTAGGAACACAAAGTTTATATCTGATGAAAAGCATAGGGCCACAGATGTTGCTGCTGATGCTCTGGGTAAAGAATAAAATAGTTATGTCGGTCTAAATCATGGCTTCTCCATGAAGAAGTTGTCTTCACACATGGTCATGGGTGCCTGCTACTGAGTAAAGGTCATTCCTGTTACAGGCCAAGGAAAACTAGAAAGAGAAAATACAAATCTGCTTGAAGCTAAGCTGGAGATGTCAAAATGCACATTCTGTGCTTGGTTAAAAAAAATGAAAACTATAAGGATATTCCTGGACTGAATGGATATAACCATGCCCATGGACCAAAATCACTCACAGAATATCTCTAAAGATGCCTTTTGTTATTCTGTGTTCTGCAGCACAAACTTTGGCATATTGCTTTGAAGAAACAACAAACTAAGACAAATAAGGAAAGCTTGACATGATAGTGTATTCCCGTACTCTTAGCTACTCAGAGGCTGATACAGGAAGGTCACAAATTCAACGCCATCCTGGGCAACTTATGGAGACCTCATCTGAAAATTAAAAGTTGAAAAGGAGTGGGATGTAGCTTATTGTGAAGGCCCTAGTTCAATCTCCAGTACTGCAAAGTGTACGTAAGTAAGCGAGTAAATAGGGCCCGAGTATGTAGGTCTGTGGTAGAAAGCTTGCTCGTCATGCACGAGGACCCAAGTTCAGTTCTCAGTACAGCAAGACAAAAGAAAGGCAAGACAGAGGCTACAGAGCACACTAAATGTTGGGCCTGCAGAATGATGCACTGAACTGAACTACACTTTACAAAAGAGACTCAGTATGTAACAGCTGCAGAATCAGCATTCTTCTCAAGCACGTAACTGGAATATTCTCCAGGATAAACCATTCGTTTATCACCACAAAAGAGCCTTACTGAATTTAGGAAGATTAAAAGAAAATTACGTATTCTTATCACAATGGTAAGAAACTAGAAATCAATTAACAGGGGAAAAAACTAGAAAATTCACAGGTTTGTATTAAATAACACTAGGCAACCAAAGGGGCTAGAAAAAAGTTAAAAGTAAATAAAAAATTTTTCAAATATGTAAAAATTAAAGTATAACATACTAAAGCATAATGGGTGCTGCAAAAGCAAGTAAGAGAGAAATTTATAGCAATAAATGCACACAAATACCTCAAATAAACATTGTAAACTTCATACTTCAAGGAATCAGAAAAATTATGCCCAAAGTTAGAATAGAGAAGAAAATAACAAAGTCCAGAGCAGAAACAGCTGGACTACACACAAGGCAACGTTTTTTGAGGGGTCTTCTATCTTTCTGGAGCCTCCTACCCTGATCTATCAGAGCAGCTGTCTACCTCCATTTCCCCCTTTCCAGTAAAGTCTCCAATAAAATATCTTCCTTTCCTTAAACTTTGTTTAAGAAAACTGTTTTTTAAAAGAGACAAAATTAACACACTTTACTAGATGAAGCAAAAAAGAGACAACTCAAAATCAGAAATGAAAAAGCCATTATATCTCATACCACTGAAATACAAAGAACCATAACGGACTACTGTACACAATTATTTGCAAACCAGTTGGATAAATTCCTAGAGATATTCAATTTAACCGAGATTAAATCATGAAGAAGTATAAAATTTGAATATACTAATAATGTTAGATCGAATTAATAATGGAAATATTTTCCATCAAAGAAAAGCTTAAAACCTGATGGCTTAACTAGTAAATTCTACCAAGCATTTAAAGAGGAATTAGTATCAGTCCTTTCAAGTTGTTCCAAAAATTACATTTAATGAAATACACACAAACACACTACCAAAAATATGTTTACAGGCTAATATCTCTGGCAAACATAGGTGCAAAAATCCTCAACAAAAGACTTGCACGCCAAATCCAATAGCATATTACTAGGATAATAGTCCACAGTGAAGCAGGATTTATCTTAGGATGTGATAAAAAAAATGTGATGCACAACATTAGCAAAATGAAAGATAAAAACCATACAATCATCCCAATAATAAAAATTCCCAACAAATTAGGTATGAAAGAAATGTTAACCTTAACACAACAAAGACCACTTATCACCAGCCCACATGTACCATCGCACAGAACAGTGAGAAGCTGAAAGCTTTTCCTCCAAGATCTGCAACAAGATGCATGTACCCACTCTGGCTACTTGCATTCAATACAGTTCTGAAAGTACCAGCTGGAGAAATTATGCCAAAAAAGGCCACCAATCAAAAAGCAAAAAGTAAAATTTTTGTTTTAAGATAATATCTTATATATAGAAAACTCTAGATACCATCAAAAAATGTTAGAACTAATAAGCCAATTCTGTAAGTAGTTTCAGAACAATAACCAAAAAAAAAACCCTGTTACAACTAACCAATGAACTCAGAAGAGTTGCAATCAACATATAAAACTCATTTATGTTTCTTTATAATAATATCAAATTACCTGAAAAAATTAAGACAATCCACTTATAATAGCATCAAAAAGAATAAGATACTCAAGAATAGATTCAACCATGGAGGTGAAAGACCTATCCAGTGACAGCTATAAAGCACTGATGAAAAAAATTAAAGACAAAAAATGGAAATATCCCACATTCATGGTCCAGAAGACTCAATATTGTCAAAATATCCACACTGCTGTAAGTGATCTGCAGATTGTATGATGCCTATCAAAATCCCACTGGCATTTTCACAAAAATGGAGAAAAAAATACACCAAATAATCTGCTTTGAAAATAGGCAAAGGACTTGAATAGACATCTCTCAAAAGAATGACATACAAGGGCTGAGGATTTAGCTCAGCAGTGCAGTGCAGTGCCTGCCTGGCAAGCTCAAGGTCCTGAGTTCAATTCCCAAGACCCACCAAAAAAAACAAAACAAGAAAGACGTACAAATGGGCTAACAGGTACACGAAAAATGTTCAGTATCATTAATCAATAGGGTAATACAAATCAAAACCACATCACACCTAGAATGACTATTCTCAGACAAACAGAAACAAAACTAATTTGTTAAGCACATTCAAATATCCAAAGGACTTTCAATAAGTTACAAGCGGTACAAAATTGTTTCACAGAATACAATTGGCTTCCTTGATATAATAAACATTAATCGAATTTTACTTTCATAGAACAGGATAATTTTCAAGGAAAAACCAAGGTTTTGGATTAGTAATCTGAATGTGTTAAATATTAATTTTTTAAGTTTATCAGTATATTTTAGATAAACATAATGATCATATTCAACATAGGGAATTTATACGCGCACATGATATATTTTGATTCTTCTTTTTTTCCCAATCCCCTCTGCTCCCTTCAACCCATCTTCCCCTCCCTATTTACAAAGCTTTGTTTCCATTGTATCCTTTGTTAATTGTTTTCTTCCTTGCCCCTTCCTTCCTTCCTTTCCCCCTCCCTCATCCTGGTTCTTCTTTCCTTTTAAACAATTTCTTCTCATTTCACAATATCTACTGTGTATTTTGGTCCTTATTCACTCTCAGTGTCCCACACCAGGGAGACAAGGTGGTGTTCACACACGTGAGTCTGATTCTGTTTCACTTAAGAGTATGAACTCAGGGGCATCCATTTACTGGGAAAGGTTTACAGCAGCCCAGTTTGTAGTAGGTAAATCTTGGAAGCAACCCAAAAGACCATCAACCAAGGAATGGAAAAAGAAGTTGTGGGTTTTTTTTAACATAATGGAGTACCAGTCTGTCATAAAGAAATATTAATTCTTAAAGCCCAGAAAGTGCAAATAACCTCCTATGAACCAAGAGCTGCTTTTGTGGACTCGATTTTTTTAAAAAAATCACACATTAATCCCAAAACTTTTAGATTTTTAGTAACTGAAACATTTCCTATAAATCTTATATTTAATAAAAGATAAAAACAGGCCAGGCATGGTGGTGCACACCTGTAACCCAGCACTAGGGAGGCTGAGGCAGGAAGATTGCTACGAGTTTGTGGCCAGCCTGGGCTGCAGAGTTCAAGACCAGCTGAACCACATAGCAAGATACTATCTCAAAAAGACCAAAAACAAAACAAAAACCCTCTGGAAAAAATTTAGAAACCAGAATTATATCTCCTTAAGTTTCCTTTTTTGTTTGTTTTGTTGTTGTTTTGTTTTATCAGTACCAGGGATCAAACTCACAACTACACACTTGCAAGGCAGGCACTTATGCTACTGAGCTAAACCTCCAGTCCCTATATCTCCTTAAATTTCAAATGACATAAGAAAGCAAAGTAACTATACCTCCCCAGGTGTCGACGTGTATTTTCTTCCACCACACATACAGGAAAAGCAGGGCAGACAGGAAGAACTGGGACGTAGTGTTGGCCCAGGCAGACCCTCTGAGGGAGGCAAAGTCATTATTAGCTCTGAGCAAATCCTTTCAAAAATGAACTGACAGATAGTCCTGGCGAGCTCTGGCTCAGGAGTGGACTCAGTTATCACACGAGTCCGAAGCTCCTTCACTATCTTAATATTTTAAAACTGCTCCCATTTATAGTAGATTTATTTTATTCCCACTGAAATTGAGTTTTGTAGAAGAAACTAGTATTACTATTCACCAATGGGAAAATAAAAGGATATAAATATTTATCACCATTTCTTGTAGAAGAGCTTTAAATAAGCCACTAAATAATTTCTCAGATATAGTCAGTCAAAAGGAGTGTTATCAACCATGCAGTGTTCAAAATACTGCCCTATGTCCTACTGGCTTTATTTTCTAGGATTATTAACAGGATTTTTTCCCATTAGAACTTAAGCTTGTTGGTTTTTCTAAAAATTCCTATTTTTTATTTTTTTCTTTGGTATCCGGAATCAAATTCAGGACCTTTCACTTGCCAGCAGGCACTTATGCCACTGAGATAGATCCCCAGCCCTAGAATTTAAGCTTGGGGCATCTTATACCACAAATAAAATGCTCCTGCTGCTACAGCGAGCCAGGAGCTCTGCTTTCTCTGTTTTTCATTTCAGTCCCCTGTCATCTTCACGTTTTATCACCTATCAATTCATTCCTCTATTTTCTCATCTTATCCCACCCCAAACCATTCTACGATGGTTCCTTGGGATCCTGCTAAGAGAAGTCCCTGAGTACATCTCACAGGAGGCCAGACACTGGATTGTCAGGTGCTCATCCTCAGTCTGGCCTGCTGACTCCAGCTGCCCCTGGCTGTCATCTCATCCAGCTTTTTAGCACAAAGAGATTTTTAAATGGGCTTTCACTGATTGTGATCGTTTTTTGTGGTTGCTTGTTTTTTGTTTGTTTTCACTGGGCTGGGGTTGGGCACAGTGTGTTATGTTCTAATCCTCTGTGGTCTTTTTGTTCATGGCTTTTTAACAGTAAGAACAACTTTCCCGTCACTATCCAGTACCCACATTATTAACACAACCACCCATATATACCCTATATAAGCTTCATTAAAAAATATCTCCATGGTGGTTGATGCTCCACATATTTTCTATTCCATTTCTCCTATTTGATTCATTATATATATATTATTTTTTTTAAAGTACTGATCATGATCCACTAAGTCCCTCGAAAAGTTCTGGGGCTCAGTCTGCACTGCAGGCATGATCATAGTCTAACCACATGTGCAAGGCTGGCCCTAGGCCAAGCCACCAGAGCATCCTTAGGTGAGGGGTGGCTCTGCAGGGCACCTGCCAAAGGAAACCACATTTCCTGCATGCTTTTGGGACCTTCTTGTCCTCAAGCTTCACAAGACAGAATTGGCTCATGTTCTTACAGCTAGGGACCAGGGAAAAGTCCCTATAGGCGTTCACCCAGTTCGGCCTCTGTCTGGGTTCCCCACCTCAGCCTTCATGGACTGAGCAGGTCCTTCCTCCAGCTAACTCTGTTTTTACTCACAGCTGTCAGCTTAGACATCACTTCCTTCACTCCCCAGTCCATTCCTTCCATCTAAACTTCAGCCACTTTCAACAGCCTGCACAAACTGCTCCCACCACAGGCTCACATAGCAGCGGCTATTATCTGTCTTTCAGGTAAGAAAACCAGCCTCTGGGTGCCTCCTTCCCTGTCCACGTTCCCTCTGGGGATTGCCTCACCCACTGTATCCCAGCCCCTAGGACTGAAGCCAGCACGCATTCCAGTTTTTGTTGAATGAATGGATCATGACTTACACTACTCCGAGGTCCAGGGCGTACAGCAAGAGGGCATTCATGCCCACATTGATGACATTCGCTGCAATTCCAGTGATAACCTGGGGCATGATGATGCCCTGAATTTCCAAAACAAATAGGAAAACATTTTTAAAAGCTACTCAACCAAAGCTGTCAAGTGAACTTTCAGAGTTAAATAGGTGACTTTTCTCTGAGATGGGGTCTTACACTATTTCACTCCTGGGCTCAAGCAATCTTCCTACACCAGCCTCCCAGTAGCTGGGACCATGAGCCTGTCCCAGTAGCTGGGACCATGAGCCTGTACCACCACGCCCTGCTGACAGGTGACAACTGCAGGTAGCCATACAAGACTGGAAGAATCAGGAACAGAAACCACCAGATGTCCTCCCCCACCTTGGTGCACCTTGTCGACAAGTCAACTAAAAGTCTGCAAATGCTTCTGAAAGCCCTGTGGGTCACAGTTTCCATAACACTGGCAGAGAAAATAGAGGGAATAATTACTGGAAGAGCAAGCAAGCCCTGGCATGACATGTAAAAGAAACTCATTTAAACAGGGTTGCCTACTAGGAAGGCAGAGGGCATTTATCCTGGCTCATGGACAGTGCTTTTATGTTTAAAGGCCAGCAGGCTATTTGTCTGGAAGGGACAGCAAAGGGACAGTGAAGAGTACTCAGTCTCTGGCTTTACCCATCCCTCTCCCAGCCTCAGCCTTCTCCCTCAGTTCCCTGGCTGCCGCTGCAGTACTGAGGTCACAGTGGCCCACGACCACTTCCAGCAATGTCTCAGTAGTAAATCTGGGCCCTTTCCCTCTAAAACAGAAGCCTAGGTCCCAAGTATATGCAAAACTGGCTGCCAGCACCCAAAAGAGGTAAGGAGCTGAGAGGGTGAAGAGATGACCAGGAGGAAGTGGACAGATTGTTAGGAGCATCTCTCCTGGGCTGGATGAAACAAGGTCCTATATCTCCCACATGAAGAACTCAGGTAGGAAAAATATGAATTACTTTCATAGCAAATTTCTTTAAAACATTGACGTCTCTAGTATTATGGAGTAAAGATTTAAAAAGAACCAGTACCTGACTTTGTAAATATTTTGTCTGTAGCTGGAATAGGAATGCCGCCTATAAGATTAAACAGAAAGCAATGTGTGATTGTTAGCGTAAAAAAGAGAGGAAGGAAAGTGATCTAAAGGATATAACTGCAAGTATATTTAAATGTGTAGGATAGAGAACCATATTGCTGAGTTTTTCTTGGATCATTGAACAGAACTGACTGCAATCTCACTGTATTAATGTCCACTTTGTATGCTTTAATTTTGTAATCTGGACAACTGTTTCTAAGATGACAATGTGTGATCTATTAACTGGTGAATTCTTACTGTATATTTTTTTCTCTTGAAATTCTGTATTACTTCTAGCCTTTTACTGTTTTGCTTCATTTAGTTTTGTTTTTCTCTTTAAATAAATAAAAGAAAAAAAAGATTAAACAGAAAGGCGAACATCAAAATGTTCACTTCAATTCTGATTTGGTAGTGGTAGTGGTGATATTTTTGTGGTGCTGTGGCTGGAGCTCAGGTCCTCACATCCACTAGGCAAGCACTCTATAACTGGGCTTCCCCAGTTCTAATTTATAGTGTATTACCTCTCGATGATGTGATCTCAAATTTAGAAAACTAGACTCACCGTAAACAAACACTAGGATGCTAACTATTTGAAATTTTTCACAGTAGGTAAAGATTTAGTGCCTGTACAATGGACACAGACAAATTCTAAACAGTCAAAGCATAAGCCACAGCCTTGATATTTTGAATGGCTCCAAGGGTACCCAGGATATGTTCTGATTACTTTGCAATCAAAAGTTTTCATGGAATAAGGAATCAGGAAGAGAACGAACACTTTCTCTTCAATGCTTGCATTTAATCTAAGCTCAGTGGGGATATAGCTCAGTGGTTTAAGTGCTTGCCTAGCAAGGACAAGGTGGTGAGTTCAATTCCTGGTACCCACCAAAAAAGTAAATAAATAACAATTTAAGTTGGTGGACACCATAGTGGTACATATTCTGAGACTCAGTAAGGTAGAGACAGCAGACAGCAGAAATACCCATTGCACTTTTGCATGAATGACACTGTGACCAATAAACGACAGAGAGTGGGGTAGGGCAACACAACCAGATGAGCTGCCTTATGTCCAACAACGATAGCCTTGATACTCACAGGAAGAGCAGGAATGAAAATGATCACATAAACCTGGGCTATCCTGCAATAAATAACAAAAGTTTTTAATTAATATGCAAATGACTTCTGGTTATAACATCTTCAAGTTGAACCCATAGAATATTTTTAAAAATTAAAACTGGGAATAATTCATATAGGAGAACCTGAATCACAACTCTGATTTTCTGCAACATACATCAATGGCACTTGAGGCCAACTCTGTCTCCTCCCTAGAGGAAGCCTAATGACATTGCCCAGCTTGTTCTCAGCCTAAAAAGTGGAGTGAACACAACAAAGAGAAGTAAAACTTGAGCACAATTCAGAAATCTTTTAAAGGATCAGGGGTACCTCACAGTGAGCAAGAGTCTACTGAAAAGGACCATGCATCCTGAGGTCATGCTAGAATTGAAGGTTTAGAAAAGCCTCTCTAAAAATTGTGTCTACTTCTGTGAAAGGGGGAAGCAGTCTGTATTTGCAGGACACCAAAATGGAGGGATGACAGGAGAGGGAGATGAGGCCAGGCACGCTTTCGTTCTGCTTGTCACGCTGGGTCAGGTGGTCCCTGTAGCACTTGGGCTGGGCCCACAGTCACAGTTTCCAAAGGGTTCAAATCCAGCTAACTGGCAGAAAATATCAACACAGGTATGCTGGAGGTGAAGCCAGGGCCTTGTCCAAGCAAGGAAAGAGCTCAACCACTGAGCCACGTCCCACTCCAGATAGCCACATACTCTTGACTTAAGATTCTGAACTGGAGACACTGACCTGGACACTTCTGGGTCCTGTTTTAAGAGCAGGAGGAGGCGCTCAGTGTTGATGAAGATGGCCCAGCAGGGGAAGCAACACAGCAACAAGATGAGGATTCCTCTCTGAAGGATGATCCCCACACGTTTTAGGTTCTTGCCTCCAAAGGACTTGGGAAAGCAAACAGAGAAAGAATCCCATGGTATAGGCTGAGACCTGGACAAAGTCACCACTTCAGCCACCACTGAGTCCCTGGCAGCCAAAGCTCTATAGCTGACTGGGCAGGGGACCTGCAAAGCCAGCAGCATCCAGCGAGCCAGTAGGCTGCTCCTGGGACACATAGGTCCCTTTTCTCCAGAACTGACATTGTTAGCCCATTGGGTACTGAAGCAGAGACAGGAGCTTGGAGTGAGGGAGAGAATGCAGTCACAGGGACAGAGGGCCTTGAAGGACAGGGATATTTGCAGAGGGACAGGGATATTTGCAGAGGGACAGGGGATATTTGCAGAGGCAGAGAAAGATACTCACAGTATAGGGATGGTCCAGTGGGTGAAGGACAGCCAGGTGCTTACTTGACAAAGTCATCAAAAGAGGTGAGGTGGGGACCCAGAAGAGGATAGGCCCAGCAGATAAGCAGGAATGCAAAAGGCATTGATGGGGGCTGAGTTGACAGGAGTGCAAAGAACACTTTCAAGAAGCTTGGGGAGCGCTGAGGTGTGGCTCAGTGGCAAAGCACTTATTTAGCCTGCAAGAGGCCCCAGGTTCCATCCCCAGCACCATAGAAAAGAGGAACAAGGGGTTATCTGGAGCCCAGGGAGGAACAAGGTAAATGCAGCCCTTGAGCAGATGGGACCCAGAGGACAGGAGCTATTAAACAAAATGATGGGAAACCAGTGATTAGGGCTGATCTTCTATACTAGTCCCAGCAGACCAGATTGGACCATACTGGAGTCTTCTTGTTAAATGCCATACCATCAAACTCAAACTTCAAGAAGCAGATCAAAGCAGACCAGTTTATCCTCAGAATAGGAGACCTCAACTATGTGAGTCTGTGTGATTAAGAAGTCCCTTCTGCTTTAACCTATCTAGGAAAATAACCTAAAGGAAACTGATTTCTCCTTCCCACCTTATAAAATCCACCATTTTGCCATGGCTGGTGGGAGTACTCACTATTTTGGAGAACAAAGCTGCCCCATTCTTGAATTGCAAATAGAGATGAGTTACACTGATAACTAAGTTTGCTGTAATTTTGCCTTTTGGTATTGTAAAGCTAACACAGCTATGCTTAGCATGTTTACAGTCATTGGCAGCATTGGACTTAACACAAAAAAGGAAAGTATGTGACTCCCTAGGCAGCCTTTAGGGTAAAAGGGAAGTACCCTCCAAAATCCTGTGTAGGCAAGGTGCTCCTCACCTGAGACATCAGCGTGTCACAAGCCGAAGCTAAGCCAGTTCCCACTGAAATCCCAGTAACGTTCACAACCTGTAAGAAACAAGCCAAGTGTGGTATTCAGTGTCCGAATCAAACAGTACTTAACACCAAGGAACTTCTACAAGCCCATTTTTAAAGAACAATTCATGGTTATATACTTAAGCCTATGTATTTTATATCAAATGGGTGTCATCATTCCTTGTTGATTACTGAACAAAAAAAAAAAAAAAAAACACTGTTTAACCAAAGGATCATGGCCACTTTGTGTCAATTGGGAAAGCCTAAAACCTAGTTTTTCTTAGTACTACACATGACGATTTCTGTATTTAAAATTCCAAGCAGGGTTCAGTGGCATGCCCTATAGTCCTGGCTACTGAAGAGGCTGTGGTAGGAGGATTGCTTGAGCCCAGGAGTTCCAGGACAGCGTGGGCAACACGACGAGATTTTGCCTTTAAAGAAATAAAGGTAAAGAAAAGTAGTTAATGTCTAACAGCCATGCCCCTGTTTGCTAGTAGGATATGCATTTAAACATAACAGGGGCCAGAGATACAGCTGAGAGGCACAGCACCTGCCTGGCAGGTGTGAAATCATGAGTTTGATTCCTAGTACCAAAATCAATTAGTTAACTAGTTAAACATAACAACAAGGCTGAGGGTAGCACCTTCTAACGTGCCAGGCAGAACCCGAAGCCTTTCATGTACACGTTGCCTGGTTGTTAATCCCATTTCTTGGGTAACATGGTCATAAACCCTTATGATATTTATCAAGTTACTCAGATGGCATGAACTGAAGGTGGGGGGTCTGGCTGCAGAGCCCAGGTATCAGTGCTCTAGTGAGAAACAGGTCACTCTCTTGCCTGGACCTTACCCAGTACTCTGACATCTAAGGTCACAGACAGAAGAACACAGAGAGGGCAGAGCCTGTGAGTGCTGCTGTGGAACGGAGAAGAAGAGAAAGGGAAAGAAAGAGAAAATGCAGAGCGAGAGGTCTAAAGATCCCCATCTCTATCCCGGGTCTCACATGGAGCAGTGATGTCACCCCAGGCAGTAACCCTGTACTTACTAAGACTATCCCGGTCCTATAGATTGAATATAGGTTGAAAGTGACCCCCAACGGTGCACGAGTTAGAAGCTTGTTCCCCAGGACATCAGAGTTGAGAGGTGATTCTTCAACAAGTGGGGCCTTGCAGGAGATGGTTCATCACTGGGCACCACCCTCGGAAGACATTAACACAGTTCTCGAGGAATCCTGGTTAAACCCTGTGAGTCCCTCTTGCTTCCTAATTCATCATGTGACTCTTCTCCTCCTCTTAGAGGTGCCCTGGCTATGGTGCATCGGCCACGCTGTGGTACAGCCAGAACGCTGGTGCTGTGCTCTAGAACTTCTAGAACTTTAAGCTAAATAAACCTCTTCTTTCTAAGCTTACAGCTTCAGATATTTTGTTTTATCAACAGACAGTGGGCTAAGACATCTGGTAGCCCAAAGCTCAAGTCCTCAGGAGCCTAACAGTTACCCCATAAGGCTGGATCTAAATGAGACCCAGAGGACTCAGGGCACAATGAGTTCAGGACATGAAGCACCTACACCACCACCCTGAGCTCCTCCAGAGGCACCTCAGTCCACTGGGAAAGAAGGTAATGTGCCATTTTCTGGAAATGTTTCCATTTTTTCTTTTGCTTTGCTTTTGCTTTGGGGAGGGCGGTTTTGTTGTTGTTTTCTTTTCGTTGTGTTTGCAGTTTTGGTGAACTGATTTTGGTTGGCTTAGAATACTATTCCTCTACAGCTCACAATTCTACCCCTGGTCCAGTCAGCTGGCCCAAAAGTCATAGCCAGGGGCCCCTCTGCTTCAGTAATCACAAGCTTCTACCATACTGAGTTGGTGTCATATCTCTCCCTCATCATGGACAGCTTTATAATAAAAGATGGGGCAAAACTGGCTACTGTGTCTCCCACGGCATCTGCAAAAAAAAATTTCACTGCCTCGGTACACAGAAAGATCATCTTTTCCCTAAATAAACAGTCTGGCAAAACTGGGGAACACTGAGACTCCCCCAGAGCAGAGCTCAGAGCAGAAGTGCAGCACTCTGTTCCTCCACCTCCGTTCCTTCGACCCATCCCATCAGCTATTTATTTATCCTTCTCTACTGACTACATTTGTGTAAATCAGCTTACGTTCTTTGTGGAATGAAGTGGAATATAAACAAATGTTCTTTCACTTAAAGAAAACAAATGCTTCTAAATTCCTTCATCCTATAAAGAGTTTTCAATAAGGTCAAGATCTTTCAAAGCTAGCTCACTTTCATAAATAAAGTTATCCTGCAGCTGAGCCTGTTGCCTTCCCAGCAGTCCGTTACAATTTAACAACTGATTCAAAGGGAAATGTCACCTCCCCCTTGCCAAGGCCTGGCAACAGAGCTGCCAGTCCAGGAGTTTATCCCAGAAGCACCATCCTTCCCATCCCCTATTCGGGCCGTCTAGATAATCAGGATTGTGTTCAGTCTAGGGCTGTTATCTCCCCATTGAAAACTAAGAAATCTTCTCTACTCTCCTATTGGATGACTTGGGGGATAAAAAGACAGAGGAGAGGAAATTGCCACAAACCACCTCTATAATCTTTAATATTTCCCCCAAGATGTGTTTTTAAATAGTTTGAGGGAAATAAATGAAAGAAAAGGAATCACGGGACTTTATGCAAACATATAATCGTGAGGTTTTAAATTCTCACCATGTTGCAGGGCTAGGGTTGAAGGGCAAAAACAAACCAGAAGATGTGCATTGAGAACTGATTCAAAGACCAAGACACCTGAGTAATGCGTCTCTCCGCATAGCCCAGATCAGTGCCAGAAACCAAACTGAGCAAAAATGAGTATCAGCTTGCAAAGCAGTGAAGAGAAACCAGACAGAGGAAATCACCACAGCAAACCAGGACCCAGAGCTGGCAGACACAGGGCTCAGGGCTGGGTGAAGGGCTTTGGTCTTAGAGAGCAGGGTGAACTCAGCTGAGGAATGGGGCCCAGGACAGTGGAGCAGGAAACAGCAACAAGAGGGTTTCTAAGTAATGTGGGAAGTGAAGGCCGTGCTGGCTTACGGAGACTGGAAGGATAAAAAAATATAAGAGGGGAGCGTAGGGGGTGCTGCTCACAGCTAGCGTGCTTATCTAGCAGCTAGTATGAGGTCCCTCAGCACTGCAAAAAAATTAAAATTAAAAAAGAGGTGAGTACATCCAGCCTCCAGCAAATAGTTTCAGACTCTCTGGGCTGGAGAAGTCCCTGCCTCTTCCACCTGATCCACCCCACAAGTGGTCACCTGAGCTGGAAGCCCAGGTCAAGGATGGAGAGAGGGCAATAAACAGTGGCCATTTCAAACAGATGGGAGAGAAAGTGAAGTGCGACCATCACAGAGGCCACAGGACAGCTGAGGAGGCCTATGAGGGCGAATCCTCTGCTACCAGCAAAGGGGCAAGAACGGGTCACTGCCAGCTATGGACAAAGCAAAGTGAACAGAGCAAGGGACCAGACTGGAATGGAAGAAACTGCAGTGAAGACAACATGTGGACTTTCTGGCAAAGGGAGCATCGATGAAGGGAGGCTACAGAAGGCAGGTAAGCACAGGGGTGAATGGTGATGTTTTCATAAAAAAGAGGCCGTGGTGCACACCTGTAATCTCAGCACTCTGGGAAGCTGAGGCAGGAGGAATACAAACTTGAGCCCAGCCTGGACAATTGAGTGGTTTCTCAAGATCCTATCTCAAAATAAGAAATGGAAAAGGGTTGGAGTCAAGACTTAGAAAGGCCATGGGTTCATTCTCCAGGTTCAAAAAAAGAAAAACTTCTAGGATATCATAATGGAATGGGAATGCATAAAGGAAAGGGGCTGGAGGGGGAAAGAAGGGTCCAGAGTACAGTGGAAAATGGATCTTGAAGCAGGAGTGGCAAAGGCTCTGGGGCTGCATGGGACAGGAGGTGAGAGGCCAGGTGCTGCCTGTTTGACCCAGGGTACAAGGCAAAGGACCAATGGGGGGCCACCAGGACGAGAGAAGATGGAGGGATTCTGGCACTGATGACTCCATGGACTCAAGGTCAGGAAGAGTGGGCCTCAGGACTTAAAGAGCTCCAGGGACAAAAGACGGATAAAAAACTGGGAAAGTGAAGTTGAAAATACACACTGTGGGTCTCCACCGAGGGATGAAAACATGCAAGGTGAGGGACCCGAAGTGGATTTGGAGGTCCTGGAAGTCAGGGAGACAAAGGAGCGAGGTTGAGCCATAGCCCACAGATGAGGGCAGAGCCTAGAGCAAGGAGCCTCAGGCTGGGGTCACTGACTCGCCGTGGAAAGCACAGGACAAGGTGGGCACCCAGAAATGAGCGCTGGGGGCTCCCGCTGAGAAGCAGGGACAGGAAGATGACAGACCTCAGTCCCAGCCTCAGACCTTCACTCACTCACACATGTCCACACCTTAAGGATGACCGGACAGCGTGGGCCAGGGCTCCATGCCAGGTGCCATGCAGGGAATACACACATCTTTGCAGCAGGAGACACCAGACAGCCCATGTTTTAAAGGCCCTCTTCCTTCTTAACTTTCTATAAACCCAATCTAAATTTTCAAAGAAAGCAGAATGTCTTTACTAACTCCATCTCCGAATACAGTAACAAGCCCATAAATCAAAGGTGATACCACCTAGCCAGGTCTTCTCTAATGTGAGCCTCAATCGGAAACTTCTGTGGGGCTTCCACACTCTCAGGTTGCATCCCTAGGGGGACAGAGAGACACTTTCTGAAAACGGGGAAGGGAGGTGGACTTTCTGTTAGGAGAGGCTAGAGTCTTTTTCTAGTCTTTGAAAGCCTGGATTACTTGCAAGAGAAACAGCTTCCCACTACCTCACTAAGAAAGACCCAGGACTTCAAAGCAGGTATCATTTCAATCCACACAAGCAAAAGAGACTTTACACACATGAAACAATGGACCTTTGATGAACTGTGTGATTCAACTAACGGTTCCCTTGGCTTGATTTGATAATAGGGAAGAAAAAAAGCAACCTTCTTTTAGTTTGGGTTGATACGCATAACACACATGCTAGCCTCCTTACAAGACCTCTGTAATTTGAGACACTTTAAGGACTTGACAATATCTCCTTTCAGCTCTAAGGACAACGTGGATCTGCAAGGCAGCCCCAGGCTCTGCAAAGGATGTGAGACCTATGACACAATGCCCAATCCTTGGGACCTGTGGTGCCGCTCAGCTTACCTAGTGCGTGGAGGACCCTGGGTTCACCCCTGGCACTACAAAAATACAAACAAACTGAATTTCTGTGGCTTTGCTATGAGCTCAAATAAAAAGATGAAATTTAAGATGGGTGTTGTGGGGCAAGCCTGTAATTCCAGTATTCAGGAGGCTGAGGCATGAGGGTCACGAGTTGGAGGCCAGCCTGCACAATTTACAAGACCTTGTCTGAGAAAAAGTAAAAACAAAGCAAAACCACCTACCGAGGTGGCAAGGGTAACAGCATCCAGCTCGACTTTGCCCAGATGTCCGCAGAATATGGAACTGACGACGCTAATGAGAAAGATCATCAACTGTGCGAGGAACTATGAGGGGACAGAAGGGAGGCAGTTCACGCCCGGCGCAGCGCCCAAAGAACCTACTACCAAGGACGCGCCGGGGGGGGCCACTGGAGCAGCCCGCGCCCTCGGGTGGCCCCACTCACCACCGGGCCCGCGAGCACCGCGAGCGCGGTCGCCTCCCGCTTCAGGTCAGAGGGCAGCACACCCCGCAGGCCTCTGCGCCACCCAGGGGCGCCAGGGTGCTCGGGGGCCAGGTCTGCAGCTGGGGACGGGTCCGCGGCTGGGGGAAGGTCCGCGGCTGGGGGAACTGAGGGCTCGGCGGCGGGGAGTTCGGGGGGCTCCATGGCGGCGCCAGGAGGGGGCTCCACTGCCGCGGGCGGGAGCGCAGGCTGCCGAGGCGCGACGACCCCACTGCGGGAGGCAGGCGGCCTGCGCAAGGACCAGCCCCCTCCACCCCACCCCCACGCCCACCCCCGCCCCCGCCCCGCCCCCGCCCCAACCCGGAGCCGGGTCCAACCGCCGCCGCCCGCGGAGCCCGGGGAGAGGGCTGGGAGGGGCCTGCGGTGGGGAGGGGGCGCCCGCGAGAGGCCGCCCGGGTGTCCCTGAAGACTTCGCAGGTTGCAGAAGCAGTGTGTTCAGAGCGTGTGCAGAGCCCATCGCTGGCCGGTCCCAGCCGGGCCTCCCCACCTGCGCTGCTGGAGGCGGGAGGAACCACGCACAACCGCGGGCTGTGGGGGAGTGGGGGGCAGAGAGCTCAAGCCCTATGGGGAGGACAAAGACAGGGGTGCCGAGGCTTCCTAACACAGAGCTGGGGTGTAACACATCATGGGGTCCCATTGGGAGCCCACACTCGGTACAAAGCTTTATCGGGGTTCCTGGAAAATGAGGCACTGAGGTTGGAGATGCCTTGTTACAGGCCCTCCCACAATCAGCAGTTGGGGGATTGCAGTGTCTGTGGCAAGGCCCTGGCCCCAGCACTGGCAGTGCAGCAGGTTCGGGCACAGGAGGGGTGGGTCTGTGGTGGGGGTCAGTGCTTTTATACTCACAATAACAACGTTATCTGCTCTTTCAGGGCGAAGGAAGCCCTAGCCTAGATATGTATCCATTCTGGCACTGGGCGTGCTCAGTATACAGGGAGGTTTCCTGATTAGCTGTGAGCACTTAACTCTAAAGGCTGAAAGAAATTTGCCTTATTAGCCCTCTGTGAAAACTGTCCTCTGACCCCACCACCCAGCCACTGTAATTTTCCTTCGGATTTTCAAGCTCCAAAGACACCGCCTAACTATGTACCAAGGGTGTCTGAGACCTGGGTGCCAACAGAAGATTAACACATGCCGTTCGCCCGCTGAATAATCATCTATGACACAAAGAAAGATATATTGTAAAATGTATTTTTAAAAATCACACAGTAAGAATCTTTAAGCACTTCATATTCATAGGTTTGTGTCTTAGAAAACAGTAAGCATGAGAAATATGAAAGCCATAGATAAATGCAGTCAATACACAATCACCATTAGTTGAGACTGTGGAGAATGAATTATTTCTCAAGTGTCACCTTTCAAACATTGTCTTGGGCCAAAATACAACGTTTACGTTGGTTCTTTTTCTCCCTTAGAAAAATATTTGAATTCTCGGTTCTTAAAAATCCATGGGTACGGCTGAGTTGCATTAGCTGAAAATGAACTGCCATTGCTGGGCCTAGGATATATTTATCTATTAGCTCCGAAGTACAAGTGGCCCCCAATTTAAGATGATCTGAATTTTAACGGCTTACCATAGTCAATAGAAACTGTACTTTAAAGTTGAAGCTTTTCCCAACGTAGCAATGTGTACTATAATCTCTCTCAGGATGTTAAACAAACAGCCACAGCTCCGCTGGTCAGCTCCTTGGTCAGGAGGGCGACTGACACTCTATGATACAGCTGCTCAGCTGGGATGTTTGGTAGGTAAGGTATATTAAATGCATTGTCAACAATATTTTCTTTTTGTTTGTTTTTCTTTTCATTGTTGTGATAGTGGTGACAGCCCTGGGGATTAAACCAAGGACCTACAGCATGCTAAACACAGGCTGCACCCCTGACTATACCCCCAGCCCTGACGAGTTATTGTCGCTGTCTTATGGGCTTCTCAGGAGGTAACTCCACTGCTTAGAAAAGATTTTAAATAGTCTGTTGCAGCCATGCGTTTGAAAGGGTTTCTAACCCAAAGCAAAAGGGGGTAAATAGTCAATTAAGAATGGAACTCTACCCTAACTCACACATTGCCTAACAGGGAGCAGGGGAAAGAAGTTAGGCATCTATCAAACACACTTGAGCTTCCAGTAAACCCCGAGTGAGAAAAGGAGGAAGGAACCGTGTGTTAAGGAGGGAGAGGAGTTAAACTGCGCGCATCAGCCTGTTTGTTGGGGGGGGGCACCCCTTTCTTGCAAGACTGAAGAATTGGGACTGAGGATTTAGCTCAGTGGCCTAAGCGCCTGTTGGCAAGTGTGAGGTCATGAGTTTGATCCCCGGTACCAAAAAAAAAAAAAAAAAAGAAGAAGCAGAATTGTCCCTAAAAGTCCACTGTTTGGGTCAGGACAAGTGAATGCCCTTCTCACACGCATCACTGAATTTTGACATATACTCTCACTAAAATCCCAGCGAGCAAGACTAAAAGGACCCCAAGGAGCAGGAGCCCTCGTCGCAGCACCAGCTGTTTCCCAGACAGCTTGTTGTGGTTGGTATGAGCCGGCAAAGGTTGCTCTTGGTGTATCTGTTGTTCCAGCTGAGTCTCCTCTTTCTTTTCAAAATTTGTCATTAAAATCTCTCCGTGGTTTTCAAGACTCACTGTAGAAGGAAAAGGGAACTTAGTTAGCAACTTGAAAGCAATCTCTCTTCATCTGTATAAAAGATGGTGTGTATAATGTAGTGGTAGCTAGGAGAAAATTAACTCGGGAAATAGTTGCTACAGGAAATAAATTGCGTTAGGCAAGAACTTTTAGGAATACATTCCTATACCTTGAGGGGGTGGAGCTGCTGCCTCTTGAAATGACTCTTATCCCTTCAAATTGTTTTTTGTTTCAAGAGAAAACCACAAGGAACCACTCTTTTGCTCTTTATAATGCTCAGTTCTCCACCCAAGAAACACTGATGTCTGTCATTTTTATCATGAGTAGTATGATCTCACACTGAGCATGCTCAGAAATGTGCCCATCTTAATGTACCACAAGGAGTCTCTCTACAGTTAATACGCACAAAATTTCTCCAAGGAAAGCCTCTTGCTGGAGCAGACAGACACTGCTCCAGGAGTTCTTAGAGTTACTTGTTCAAATATTAAACTTTTTGTAGTCCTTTGTCCCCTGGTTGTGCCTTATTGGCTCCATTACAATGATCTCTTGGTGCTTCTTCACTCCCTCACAAACCATTATCAGCTGGGTGTTCTGGGTAAAAAAGCTAACACCTCACAATCCCAGCTCATTGTCTCAGGGAGTTAAAGAATGCAATCAAGGACAGAAGGAGGCCGTGGAGGGGGAAGTACTTATTGGAAGTATCGGGAGGAAGAAAGCTCCTGGTGGATAGTTGGATGAGTGGTCTTTGTCCCAAATCATTTACAGATGGGCAGAGCATAAGAGTCTGCACCCAGCAAGTGGTGTGTCACTCTGTCTATGGGCCCCCCCAAAAACAATTACACTCAGGTTTTTTAATGTAAAGTTCAAAGAAAAACTAACTATTCAGTGTCCCCAAACTCCTTGAAACCAGTCCTCAGCCCAAAAGTAGGGCAAGACTGCTACCTTGGTTCATTCTGCCTAAAAAGTTTCTTTCAAATATGTTTCCTGGGAGTCAAAATCCTTATTTTTACTTTTTATCATTTTTCCTATGTTTGCTTTTACATTTCTAAGCTTAGCTATCTGTGTGGCTTGAATTAGCTCTTAATTCGATGTAAGTGTAAGTGCTGTTTTTGTTTCAATGCTGACAGGCCCGACTCCATCTTAGGTCCTGTCTCTTGCTAGCTGCCTATTCAGAAGCTAAACACTTAAACCGCCTCTTACACAGAATGCTCTCTAAGTTAAAATCACAGAGGAAAATTTCAAAGAGCCAAAGGCCCTAGAATAAGCATTTCAGGAAGAAAATAAGTGGATCTGTATTACAATGGACGGGGTTTGTTAAAGTCATCAAGAATAAGGCTTACTTTAAGAGATACCAAATGAAGTTTAGAAGACAAGACAGCAAAACTGATTACTGTGCTCAGAAACGCTTGGTAATCCAGGGCAAAAATAGCTACAATGTACCGAAATACAGGATAATGTTTGTGTAAATGACAGATAGCATTTTTCAGATTGCTTATGCCCGTATTGAAGGGATGTGATAGTCTGTGCAAGATAGGCACATGAACTACCCAAACACGGTGTGACAGTTGGCCTACAAGCCATGCTGCGGTCTATCATACTGGCCTGCTGCTGGCCCTCAGGCTTCTCAGCAGGTCTGGCACAGATGGAGATGGCAGGAAGGCTAGGTGCAGATGGCTGGGGATGGTGTGCAATGTGGAAAACATTGGTGGTAAGCCTGGTGCCTTCCCCTGCTTTTTGGATGCAGGCCTTGCCAGAACTGCAACTGGCAAGAAAGTCTTTGGAGCCCTGAAGAGTGCTGTGGATGGAGGCCTGTCTGTCCCTCACAGTGCCAGGCAATTCCCTAGTTATGATTCGGAAATAAGAAGTTCAGTGCAGAAGTGCACACCATGCATCAGAGCGTTGCAGGTTATACGCATTACCTAGAGCAAGAGGACGAAGATGTTTATAAGGAACAGTTCCCTCAGTATCTGGCAAACAGTGTAACTCCAGATGTGATGCGGGAGATGTATGACAATTCATGCTACTGTATGAGAGAATCAAGTCTATGAAAAGAAACCAAAGAAACAGGTTAAAAAGAGGTGAACCTGTCCCAAAATGTCCCTTGCCCAGAAGAAAGATTGGGTAGCTCAAAAGAAGGCAAGCTTCCTCAGTGCTTGGGAGCAGGCTGCTGAGAGTTAAGCCAAATTTCTATGAAGATTTTTCTGATAAAGACAAAAACTTATTCATTGAGCAAGAGAGAGAGGGAGGAATGGAGACAGATTTCTTACCTAGAGAACTCTGAGGGCATTGTAACACTCCCAATGTAGGTTGGGGATCCCTAATCTGAGATAATGTGAAACTAAAACACCTCTGATCAAAAGCATTTCAGTTAACTTGCAATCACTTATGTTTGGTAGGAAGCTGGATGCTAATCTTACTCTTTTTTTTTCCCCCATACTGAAAGACTGAACCCAGGCATTTTGTACCAGCTCCCTCTTTTATTTTTTTTAATTTTGATACAGGGTCTTGTTAATTTGCCCAGGTGGTACTTAAACTTTCAATTATCCTGCCTCAGCCTCCATGAGTGCTGGGATTATAGGCCTGAGCCATCTCACCCGGTTGCTAATCTTATTCTTGTGCTGTTACATAATCTGCCTTTATTTTTCCCTTTGGAAGTTTTTAGGGTATTTTCCTGCTATTACTGGTATTCTTAATTGTTTTGATTGCTTATCTCATTGCTGAGAAAAGATACCTCACATACAAAGTTAAAGCAAAAAGGTTTAATTGGCTTACAGTTTGTAGAGGTTTTAATTCATAGTTGGCTGGCTCCAAAGCAGGGCAGCACGGCAGAGTGACATTGCAGAGAATAAACAGTTCATGACAGGCAGAAGACAGCAAAACAGTAAGCATCAAGCAGTAGCAAGTGACCCTGACAGCCCTCTTTCTGTCCCTTATACTCTGTCTGGGCTACCCACCCTTAGGGCAGGTAGCACTCCCACACACGGAGAGCCTTCCCATTATCCACTCCCAGAGCTATGCCAGACAAAACAGTGGAATAATTTAGTAACACACCTTTGATGCCAGCATCATATACTCTAGATCCAACCTCCTCTGAAAAGCCCCTCTTATAAGTGCATGAGGCTCTGGGGGGACATCTAGACACAAGCCGTAACACTACTATTCTGAAGCACCATGGACTGAGCGTAGGTATGAGTCATTATCCTGCTTGGTACTTAGTAGGCCTTGGATGCGAAGACTCACATTTTTGCTCGGTTATATGAATAACCATGAATGAATAAGGAATATTCCTTAGTTTATTTCTCCCTCCATTTGCTCCTCCTGAAATGTTTATTTTCTTTCTGCACAGACCTAGAAAATAATTTTAAACATAATAATACCAGCTCGCACCTACTAAATGCTTATCCTATATCAGACCTTTCTCAGTACTCAAGACTCACAGCAATAGTAAATACCATATCATCCCAATTTTATAAATTGGGGGAATTTACACTAGAAACCTTAGACCAGCCCTTCCTCTCAAGATGATTATAAAATCTAGATAAAACAAATTCGAAATATCACCTTGAAGATATCAGAGAGCTAACAATGTATTGAAGAATTACCAGGGCATGACTATGAGGAAAATGGAAACCCAGTCAGGAAGGTCCTGGCTTTTAGGGTTACTTCTGTCCAGCGGATTCCCCATCTGGAAGATGGTGCTCAGAGGCTAGGCAGTGCCCAGCAAGAGTGGCCCTGGTACACCTGTGTCTGGGTTTGGAATGTCTCAGAAGGGCTGAATCCAAAACTTAAGCATAAATGAGAAGTAAACCAGCCTCACACTGGCTGCAGCATCTCGCCTCTAGATCAGCCAGGTGGTCTAGAAACCTCGATTTCTGAAATTCCCCTCGGTTGCCTGTAAAACTACTAGGTGTTAAGTTATATAGATATTAATATGCAGTCAGAGAGGGACTGGGCCCCTGAGAAAGTCAGCAAAAATATGAAGACATCAGAATTTTGGCTGGAGGCAAATCTGCAGAGAACCTCAGGACGGTGACACCACAGCCAGGCCTGCAAGACATACAGCAACCTGGGATTGTACTGTTTGATTAGCACCGCCTAGTCCAGCGGGGGTGAGATAGGGATCAGACGCACAGGTGCGAGACTAGAATATCTGGATCCATTCTTCCCTCCCTTTCCAAAAATGATTTTGATCTTTCTATCTATCCTTGCTGCATGACTCATTTCCTCACTGGATCAATATTAACTAAGCAGGCTGAGGATACGTCTCAGCGGTGTAGCACCTGCCTGGCAAGTGCAAGGTCCTGAGTTCGATTCCCAATACCACCACCAAAAAAAAGCATAAACCAAAACTAAAAAAAAAAAAAAAAAATTAACTAAACAGCTGTAATTTTAATCCTGTAGGTTAATTGTAGTCTGACCCATGTTGCAATTTTGCTGGGTAAATTACCCCTGACAGAAGGCCTGGCAGTCACTGACTCAGGACCTTTCCTGGAGATCCAGGAGCTATTGTTCTTTAATTCCCAATGAAACTCTTCTAACTTCTTCCTTTGGTTCACAGCTTCATTCCTGGATATTGTGAGACCTCTAGCAGGCTGGGAGGTCTAGTTTTGCTGAATCAAAACCTCAGTGTCACAAACAACATCCTATCTGAAGATACACAACTTTGTTTTAGACCTCAAATGATTTCTAAAACAAGTTTAAATATAAAGTGTGGGACACACAGATAACCAGACACACAGGAGTCTAGACAATATAAATAAGAATTGAGAAAAAACAGAATTGACCACTGATGGCCAGTCAGACATCCAGGAAGTCCAAGGGGCTTATATTATAAAGAATGTTGGAGTCAGAGCATAGCACCCCAAAATGTGACCATAAGTGTTGAGAATATGCTACCCTAAAGTAGTCTTCTTTGACATGCTTCAAATTAATCATTCCGAGAAAGTGGAGACAATATGGCTCTGAAACCCTCTCCTTTTACAAAAGAAATTTACATCTATGAAGGAAATCTACATTAGTAAAACTACCAACCTCAGGAAAGGGCTATTCTGACAACTGTTATCACCACCAGTGAAACTTTATTCACACAGCAAGACCAGCTTCTCCTCCCTCCTCTTCCCATAGCTTACACAGCCTCCATCCCCAGACACTCCACGCCCTTTCCCTCTCTGTCGCTCAGAATGCTGTAGAAGTTTGCATTTGATCCTTCTTTGAGTTTCACATTTTGTGGGACTCCCCTGCTTAAACATGTAATTCAGGATGGCTTTTCCCTATTAATCTTGCTTGTGTCAGCTCCTTTGGTGGCACTGTTACAGCAGGTAGGAAACTGGAGGGAAGCCAGGTTTACCTCCTCTACAGGAGCAGAAGACGCATGACTAATCTGCTTAAAGCAAGTGATGCCCCATGAGGAACTCCATTAAAATAAACATGCAAATGTCAGTTTCTGAGACATGGTCCATACACAGAATCACACATGCTAGAAATGCCTGCAGCCCAACACAGAGAAATTATAAAAGTATGAGGTGAGTGATATGCCAATTACCATGATCTGAACCTTGCATGCTATACACCACGAATAAGTGCAATTATTATATATTAAATATAAATTTAAGATATATGTTTTAAAATAAATGCTTGCAGAATGCTTACAGAAGTAACGCCTCAGAATAACCGAATGGCAGCTCTTTAAATCATCAGTGGTGGTAGGTAAATGTGTATCCACAAAGTGAATGTCATTGACTTCATCGTTTGTTTCTGAAACATTAGTGCCCTGTTTCAGTGGGAGCTCCTGCAGCCAATCTAGATGTGTCCCCTAGTGGTTCCAGACAGGCCTGTTCAAAAGTGAGAGTTTTATCATACCTGGGTAAACTGGATCCTGAGAGACTGCAGAATTCTCACTCAGGGCCACATTTGCCTTCAGGTTGGCATGCACTTGAGCCTGGAAATAAAAGGCAGAGTGTGTCCCAAAGGCATGAGCCAGTTGTTAGGACATTTTAGCTGCCCACCTAGCTGAAAAGTCCTTTACTTTCATTGAGACATAAAGCTGCAATGTCTCTAGGTCACCAGGGGACCCCCTTATAAGAGTGAAGTGGTGTCAGTGGATGCGGGAGGCCGGACAGAGAGAGTGCGATGTGAAGGAGGTGGATCAGGCAAGGTCAGTTCAGATCTGCCCTTCTCCCGTTGCTTCCTGCATCTCCTCTTTCCACCTGTTTCCAGACCTCACCTCATCTCTGGATGGGCCAAGAGAAGGAAACACACACTATCTTAGCAAAATATTTTGGGATCATATTTAACAGTGGTAGGGTGAATTTGATGTATCCCACCTTTTATAGACTGAAATAGGCTTTGGCGGGGGGGTGGTACAAGGGCCTGGCATGAAGTGCAAGTGGATCCTGTTTGATGGAAAGGAACTTCTTCAGGGCAGTACTGAGCACAGTTACCTGCTGGCAGGCTTGTTTCCAATTGAGTTGAGCAATGTAGGCCAGAAAACACACAGCCTGAGAGACGGCGCAGATGATAATCCCTGACCACAGACCTGGGAATGGAAATATTTAACAGGTCAGCTCCCCAAAAAGCAGCCTCCCTAGAGAGGATGTATCTCCTATCACTTCTGTGCGCCATGCTGAGAATCTGCCCTCATGGCCGATACACAGCATCGGTGACCAGAAATTAGGCTTGCAGAAGGTTCCGCACTCCCTGAGGATGTCCGTGCAGAGGTTCAGAAGTTATTTTTAGATATTGGTATAATGCTTGCCTATTAAGAAAAATAATAGCTATAAGGAAATTAAATTTCCCAAGACAAATTACTGCTGGTCTGTGTTCCTCAGGAGGAGACAAATTTTGCAAAAAAAAAAAAAAAAAAGCAGATATCATGCCAAATAAAGTATTAAAACAATTCATTTTTAACTTGTATGTTTGGAAATTAGTTACTTTGCAAGTTTATCAACTGCAGATGTGCTAAAATAGGAAAGAGGGGAAAACTCTTTTCAAAACAAAAATCCCCAAGTTTTATGTAAGTTTCTATTTTAATTCCTGGGGCCTTGGGAGCTAAGCATGTTCTCTACCATCGTGTTCACTGCTATATCCCCAGCCGGGAAACCATCTTAGAAAACAATGTTCACATTCTACAGTTATGCTGGTAAAAACTCTGTTCTCATTTTATACCCACAGTAATCATTCTAACAGTAAAAATTTAAAACTTATAGCAGAAGTCACCATCAAGTAATTCTGTTCCCTCCCCAGAGCTTCCTGCCCTCCCTTAAGATCTTAACTTGCTCCTAGTACAGATTTTGCTGGAAGCTCCAGGGCAGGGTGACAGCCCTAAAAATGAACAGAGAACATAGAAAGAAGAGACTGAGTAGGAATGGATGACAGGAAACCCCTTATAGCTCTCGAAGCACATACTATACAGATTCTACCAGTAAGCCTGCCCAGGGCCTGGAGGAGCACCCAAGGCTGAGGGTCATTTTGTCAGCAAAGAACTCATGGCAGAATCAAAGCTCTGAGATAGCCAACAGAGGCTGACTGTACAGGCAGGTGATGGCCAGCTTACATATAAAAATAGGCTTCCACAACCACAACCACAGGAAACCTGCCCCTTATCTGAGATAAGCAACCCAAGATGACATCTTGCTAGAAATCAGACTTGCAGCTGGATTGCTTGGGTTCCCCAGTAACATCCTATGAAGCTGAACAGTAACTTCTATAACAGTGGACCCCAAATAGCCTGGAATTAGCTAATAATTAACAATTTCCCTAATATTAATCCCCACTTCCAATTTAGGACAAACTAGAGAAAGTTAAGTAGATATAGTTGCTTAAGCAATCATATGGAGGACCCAGTCTGCCATGATTTCCAGCTCCTGCAGGCCAGCAGCCTCCAATGAGACACCCTGAGCCATTCCTTTTCGCAGGGTGAGTCTTTTCATGGGGGACTCCCTTGGCCAGCAGACTCAACACACAGCCTTTGCTTTAGTTCCTCTCTTGGACCTAGTTTATTTCCACAACCATTTGGATTTCCAAACGGTATTATATTTTTGGTAGACAGACTTTAGGCAAGGTTACGGTTCTGCTTCTTTGTACCAATCACCCTCACACGGCATTCTTCAGCCGTGATGAGCCTGCCCTTTACCACAGTGAAGGTAGTAACCACTTGCTAGTCCTGTAATGGCTTAGTAAAAGCAAACCGCTGGCCTCCTCTTTCAAACCCAGAGTTTCAGGTACCCATGAAGTATGAGCTCACCCTGACCAGCCTCCATGGAATACAACCTACTATCTCCAGCTATAATTGCAAAGTTGTTAATTTTATTTCCAGTAATTTCACAATGTATCATTTTAAAAATTCTGTTGACTCGACCCAGGAAACCCAGACAAATTAATTATTAGAAATCCCTACTGTGGGCCTACGAAATGCCTCATGGGAAATCCCAAGGCTGTCTTTTGTTGGAGCTGTCTGTGGGAATGGGCAGAATGCTACTGTCCTCTGGCTCCTAGAACAGGCCACAGGATATTCCACACAAATCTATAGCAGTCTTCTTCCTAAGAAGTAAGTGGAGGGATCATCCTTCTCTACAGTGCTCTCACCCACCCCCAGGACCTCAGAAAGCTCCTTTTACTGACTCTCAACTCTCTCTACCTTTCACATAGTAGAAATGCTTTTGCTAAATGAATAAGAGACTTAAATACAGTCCCAGAGATATAGGTGGGGAGATATATATCACCAGGAATTGAATTCAGGACCTTGTGCTTGCCAAGCAGGTGCTTATGCTGCTGAACTATACCCCTGGCCCTCTATATTTTAAATCAGATTCCTCTTCTAAAAATTGAGCTCAGAAGTAGAGTAAAACGCTCAGCAGAGGCTGGAATGATCTGCAGAGATGGGAAGCAAGAGAAGTTGCTCATCAAAGGATACAAAGTTTTAGACTCGGGCTATAGCTCAGCAGTAGAGTAGTGGTCTAGCATGTGACAAGGCACTGGGCTTGATCCCCAGAAAACAAACAAATAAATAATAGAAGTTACAAAGTTTTAAATAGAAGGAATAGCTTGAGACTGATTACACAGCAGGGTGTTTGAAATCCATAACACATTGAAAATTTCAAGTTAACTAGAGAGTAACTTTCAAATGTCTCACCATGAAAAATAAGTAATCAAGGAGATGGGTATGCTGATTGCTTCCATCTGTTCATTCTTCATTGATACATATATCAGCTGTATCCCACATAATGTACACAAGTATGATTTATTAATAAAAATAATTTTTAAAAAGATGCAATAGCCAAGCATGGTCATACTCTGTTTCAAAAAAATAAAAAGGGCTGGAGACATAGCTCAGTGTGAGGCCCAGGGTTCAATCCCCAGTAAAAACAATAACAAAAATACATAAAATATAAAGTGTCTTCTTAGTGTTCTATACAGATTGCAGGTTACGATGATAATATTTTGAATAAATACCTTAAGTAAAATACATGATAAAAAAAACAGGTTGCTCTGATATTTCCATTAGTTATATCATCAGCATATCCAAAACATGAGTAATGCCAGAAACTCAGCTAAATAAGTTTCTGCACCCCGGTGGAAGCCCAGTAAAATCTGGCACTTCCACTGTTTGAATCTCTCTCATATTTTTAATTAAAATATTATTGAATTTGAGAAAAGGGAACAAAACAATGAAAAATGTCAGACTGTGGCTCTCAGATGACGGCTCACCACCCCAAAGTTCACCAAGTACTGATAATTAAAACAAGCCATGCTTCAGTCAGTCCCAACTTCACCCCAAAGATAGCATTCAGGTTTAATATAACCACCCAGCCACTGCCAGCATATTCCCAATTATTATTCTAGACTGGGCAGTCATTGATTTCCCTGCTTTTCGAAAAAGATGGACTCCGGTCATTTCAGATCCTGTGGATTCAGTTTTTTACTCCAAATGCTGCAGAGTGCGAAAGGAGCGCCCTGACTCACCTCCCTGCTGCATCTTCCACACTCCTCCCTTACGAACCCACAAAGACACCCTGAGGAGAGTGTACCAAGCAGGAGGTGAGTGTGCAGAAGGGGTGAGGGTCACAAGAAGAGCGCGTGCCCCATGCCACACGGGGGCGCTGTTCCAGGACGTGCTGTGTCCAGCCACCAGCTCGTTAACCTGCTGCTTCTCCACCCCATCCCAGACTTTCCAGGATAGCCAGCCTCAGTCCTGGAGTCTCACTCTCAGTGTCTCACCGTACAAGGGGCCCTCACTAAAAGAACAGAATGAGGTCTACAAAAGGGGCATTTCCAAGGTTCCTTGCTGTAACCTCCTTTGAAGAAAGACCTGGACAACACACCAAAGGAAGGGCGAGAAAGGAAATTTTATTGTGCTCAATGTGACAGTGTGGAAGATCACCAGCATGGGCAGGCGAGCGGGGCATGACCCAACATTGGACCTTGGGTGGAGCAGACCACTTCTGGCCCCTCCTAGTTCCCTCCCTGACTGGAATGAGTGTGGGAAAATCCTAGAATCCCACAGTCAAGTTTCAGTGTGCTCTGACAATCATTTCCTGGGCCTAACTAAACCCTGCGCGAACATGGTTAAAGCTTACCGACTACTCCAAGCTCAGCTGCAAACATCAGTGCAATCCCAATGGGAAGACCAATCACATAATAACCAACGGCATTAACAATGGCTCCAACTTTCTGGTTTCCAGTTCCCCTCAGGATGCCACCACATGTACACTGTAGGCAGGTAACATTCCATCAGTGTGAGCATTGCTGGGGTTCGCACCCCCACCACCGGATCACAGACTACCACCTCACGGTGCTCAAAACTTAGTAATCCATGACCATGTGACAGTGTTCTGCAGAAATGACCATGATAATAATACTCCTACTTTACTCTCTTCCAAGTTGAAATTTATCATCATTGTGAGAAATACATAACACAGATCATGCAAGTGCTTAAAGGACTACTGCAAAATACTCACAGCAAGGCCTTCAAAGAGGTGGGACACAGCATAAATTGGAATCACCTGAGCCACCAGGGCGATGATATCTCTGTCCAGAAAATCAAGCACATGGTAATTAGCAGGAAACATGTATGGAAAAGAAGATTTTCATTTGCCCAGTAACGGGACTCACTTCTGTTCCACCTCAGCGTGGACCTGTGTCCTAGTCAGGAATCAGTGCAGGGCCAGTTCTACGGTTGGTTGGTCCACAGAAGAAACCAATTGTACATTGCAGTTCATGACTTTTAGAAGAAATAATCTACTTGGTCAATGTGGAACAATGAAATATTTGACAACTCTACCCCTAAATTTAAAATTTAGGTTATACTACCATCCTTCTCTTAACACGGATTCTTTAGGGCAAGTCTGTGAGACCCAGTGGCAGGATGGAACATTGCAGACCGAGTTAACGTGCTCTCCGTGAAGGGCTAAGGAGAAGCCTTGGTTCCATTCCCGTTGCTGGGGGAGGGAGTGCTCCTTGTGGAAACCTAGTGCACTAAACTGTGAAGGCCATGGGTAATTCTTGCAGAATTATCCTTAGTCCCTAGAAATGGGCCCCAAACCCTGATGGTAAGGTCTTGGATTTTAATGCTTACTCATGATGGGAAATGAGAAAAATTACACCATTGACCTGGAGAGATAAGGAATTCATTGTACTCTTGAGTGGATTGATCACAAGTAAACCTAGATCAATATCTGGCAGTAATTTTTTTTCCAATACTGGAGATTGAACCCAGAGCCTCGTGCATGCTAGGCAATTGCTATACCACTGAGCTACACCCCCAGCCCCTTTTATGTTCCAGTTTCATTTTGAGACAGTTTCACCAAGTTGCCTGGGCTGGTTTTGATCCTCCTGCCTTAGCCTCCTGAGTAGCTGGGATTACAGGTGTGCACCCAGCTAATAAATGCTGAGTGAATGAATAAATAAGTAACCTAGAACTGAACAGGATGAAAACTTCCTTCCCCTTAACTGGAAATTTAGTTTTTGTATAGATAATGTGTGCAAACAGTTAAAGAAATCAAACGATAGGGAAAGGAGAGTGAGAAAGACCCTGAATCCCAGTATCACAGGCCACATCACGACCACCCTGTCCCCCAAAGAATAATGCTTAGCATTTTCAGTATTCATCTGTTTATGAACTACATGGGCAAGTACAGTGGACATTTTCAATTTCCTCTCTGTACTCCGTCCTTCATAGATAGCATTCCCTAGCTGATGATATTCTGTCTCTTGCTTTTTCCACCAAATATACTCATTTATATATTCCACCAAAATGTGTTGATTTTAGTGTATGGCTCAACTCTGTCTGTTAGTATTCGGTTTTGGAGTTTTATTTTAGTGCTGGGGATGGAACCCATCTGTGCTTGCTAACCAGGCACTCTGCTGCTGAGCCACTGTTCCATCTCTTTACACATATTTTGGATTTTTATATCAATGTTAGTGAGAACATTCTGTAGTTTTCTCTTTCTATGGGCAAATTTCATCAGTTTTCATATCACATTATTTGGTTCAGAAACAGAATGTGAAAGTTTCTTTTTTCTATGCTCTGTCTGTCGTAGAAATCTTTGGTTATAACTTCATACATGTTAAGATTCGATAAAATTTTCTTCTGTGATCCTCTGGAATAGGTGCTTTGAGCACTTTAAAACAACTTTCCTTTATAAGGAAATCACTTCATTTAGACCTTTTTAAAGCAATTTTTGATCCCTCCAAATTATATATTTCCTCCAGATTTTTAAAAGTTCCTTGCAAAAATGTGTGCAAACTAGTCTCTTGGAAGTGTGTGTGTGAGTGTGTGTGTGTGTGACACTGAGGACTGACCCCAAGGATGCTCTAACACTGAGTACCTCTCCAACCTATTTTATTTTTTATTTTGAGACAAGGTCAAGCTTGACCTTCCTGCTTCATCCTCCCAAACTGCTGGATTCACACACATATGTGCCATCGCACCCAGTTAGTCTATCGGGATTTTCAAAATCTGGTTGAGCTTTGTAGTAGTCCTCTTCTTTGCATAGAGATGTCTTCTCTTCCTGCCCACTGTGATTGGTTGAAGCGATGTTTCATTTATTTCCCTGATTTTGCTAGTTTCACTTTACCTGGTTGCTGAGTGATAGGGATGATATTCTGAGAAGTGCATCGTTAGCTGGTCACAGAATAAACTCACACAAACTTACACAAACCCACAGAGGAAACCAACCACATGGTGTAGTTTGTGACTTGCACAAAACCAGACACTACAGCCTGCTACACACCCAAGCAGTATCGCACCTGTGTGTCTGTGTGTTGTAGGCCTGGTGCCTCAATAGCTGTGAGGAACAAAACAACACAGCCTACAATCAAACATAAGAGACACGATAAATAGACATATGGAGCTGCTGCCACCAGTGTACTACTACATACAATACACGGGTTTTTATAAGTTGGAGAATATTTTAAAATAATAATTAAACAAACACTAAACCAGCAACAACCATCCACTATCAAGTACCATGCACTGTATCTAAATACACACATGCCATACAACCAGCAGCGCAGACTCACACACTACGGTCACCATGAAGATGTGAGTGAGGCCTCATCTGCAGGCGTGTGGCCACTGCAGTGTCACCAGGTGATGGCACAGGACTTTTTCAACTCTATCGTAACCTCGTGGACCTCCTGTCCCATATCAGCCCATCGTTGGCCAAAAGGTCATGCATGATGGTAACTTGATTTTTCAGTCCCCTATATCCCCTTTTCTCAAAGATGCAATGTGTGAACCTTTTGTTTTCATTTTTCTTCCTGTCTGGAGTGAATAGATTCAAACTAACTGCCCCCTTCATATTCCCACTGGAAACATCACTGAATTCTGGTCTTCAGGACTGTCATGGTTTATGTCTGTGTCCCCCAGGCCTCATGAGTTTGCATTGTGCATTTGTGATTGGTTCATTGTCTAGTGCTTGGATTGATGGTGTCAGTGCTCCTCCCACAAAGGGGTGGAGCCAGGATGTGATGTAATGGCAGGAAGAAGGTGTGTCTCGCTCTTTGTTGGTTCCGGCTTGCTGTTTGCAGCCGCCATGAACTTCAGCCCAGCCATGCCCGCCTGCCTTGGAGCCAACTGAGTGTGGACTGAAACCTCCAAAAACTGTAAGAAATAAACCCTTCCTTTCCCAACTTTGGTGAGGACCCTCTGACTTCCTTTGAAAACACAAGAACTCTGGGCTGCCTTCCCGGCATCGAACTCAAGACCTCATGCTGGCCAGGCAGGTGCTATGCCACTGAGCTATGTCTCCTGTCCCTGCCCTACTGATTCTGAGGTGAGAAATCTGTAACAGAATGGCAGAAGCAGAAAAACAACAACCTATCATCTAAAGACAAAAGACAAATAAGCAAAGAAGCCATTCTACCAGCTTCTAACATCCATGAAGAGAGTATCAATGTGCATTGTGTAGTTGCTAGTAAAGATATTCCAAATAAGAAATAATCCCATAAATTTTTTTTGAGGCAAGGGCTCACTGTGCAGCTCAGACTAGCCTCCCAGTTGTGATCCTTCTGCTTCACCCTCCTATGTCATAGACCCATATTTCTAAATGACTAGAACATACCTGCCTCTGGGAGGAAACAAAAGCTGTCTGCAGAGCACAAAAAAAGATTTATCATGCACAAGAATTCTTTAGCAGCAATCTGATGCTGTGAGCTCTGAACAACTCATGGGTAAGATTTTAACTTCAATTTTAGCTTGACAAACATATCATGCAAACTTTATAAACTAGGTAGTTTGGCAGATACCGAGATACTAATATGATTTTCATTGGGGCGGAAATACAGACGATTACCCCTGATCTGAAGCACTTGGGGGTCAGAAGTGCTCCAGAGCCCAACCTTTTTCAGATTTTGGGAGAGTCACATATACATAACGAGATTTCTTAGCAATAGGACTCAAATCTAAACACAAAACTGGTTTGTGTTTCATATATCCCTTCTACATAAAGCCTGAAAGGATTGTATACAGCTTTTTCATGTGTGCCTGCATTTTGACTGTGACCCTGTCACACTTGTGACACCATGTTGGCACTTCGAAAGTCTCAGATCTGGAGGATTTCCAATTTCAGGTTTAGAATCCTCAATGTATAATTCACTGAAAATGTAATCAATAGTAACAAAATGGACAGTTTTTAAAAATGACCGGAGTAGGCCAGGAGTGATAGCACACACCTATAATCCCAGCACTTGGGAGACTGAGGCAGGAGGCTTGCTGTGAGTTCAAGGCTAGCCTGGGCTACATAGTGAGTTCAAGGCCAGCCTGAACTGCATAGTGAGACCCTGTCTCAAAAAAAAAAAAAAAAAAAAAAAAAAAAAAAAACACAAACCCTCCAACCACCAGAAACAGTATCATCACTAATGCCCATTAAATTTGCATTTGAGATTATCAATGAATCAGTTCCTACATCTAGTCTGTCACTCTCAAGAAATATTAGTGGAGTTTTTGATCTTGCAAATGATCCAAAATGCAGCTATCCCGGGGCTTCCCCATGACAGCATCTATGCAATCTAATGATGCTTATACCACAGATTTAGCATCTCAAGAAAATCCAAGCACTCAGCCAAGTGTGGTAGCCCACTCTTGCAATCCCAGCACTGAGGCAGGAGGATGGCAAGTTCAAGCCTGGCGTCAGCAGTTTAGTGACTTAGCAAGGCCCTGTCTCAAAATTAAAAAATAAAATAGCTGTGGATATAGCTCAATGTGAAGGCATCAGGTTTAATCTCCCGTGTTGCAAAAAGAGAAGAGAAGGAGAAAGAGGAGGAGGAAGAGAAGGAAGAATAGCTAGAGGAGAAGGATGAAGGGGGAGGAGAAAACAGGAGGGGGCAGGGGAGGAAGAAGCAGAGAATCCCAGCACTCACCTGTTGGTAGTGAAAATATACCCCAAAAGGTCCTTACAGCTTAACAACAGGACACAAAAGGTTACAGCAAAGAGCTCTGGAAGCAAACGGGCAGGAGAAGTGGCACAGTGAACAAGGTCCGTTTTTGCTGGATGTTAATGTCCCCCACAGGCTGTGTGCTGAAGGCCTGCGCGTGCCCAGAGCAGCAAGGCTCAGACTCGAGGCTTACGGGAGGTGATTGGATTATGAGAGTTCTTACCTCTGCAGTGGATTCTAACCCACTGATGGAGCACAATTGGGCGGCTTTACTGGGAGGCTGTGGAAACTTTAAGAGGTGAGCCTAGCTGGAGGAACAGGTCACTGGGGATGTACCTTTGCAGGGTGCATCTTGCCCTCTCACCTTCCTCTCTCTGCTTTCTGGCTGCGTGAGGTGAGCAGCTTCATTCCATAACAAGCTCCCAGCCATGATTTTCAGCCTCCCTCCCACCAAGCCCACGGCAATGGGGCCAAACAACCATGGACTGAAACCATAAGCCAAAATAAATTTCCCCGCTTTAAATTGATTTTCTCAGGCACCTTGTCACAGCACTGGAAGGCTGATTAACAAGATCTGCAGGAAATGGGGGAGACTGCATGCACCATGAGACTTAAACAAATGGATCTAAGCACCTGTGACCAGCAGGGCGACCACCGAGGACTTCTTTGCCTGTTCGATGTTTCCAGCCCCCAATGCATTTCCTACCCGGACGTTGGCAGCCACACTGAAGCCTGCAGGGACCTAAAATAAAAAGGTAAACCTACAACAGCAAAGCTGCAGGGTGAGAAGGATGCACTGAGGAACAGCCTTGTGCCTAGCACCCTACTGACAAAACTAGGTCCTACAAATTCTGAAGATTGATTTGCACTCTCCCCTTAGTCCAGCGGAGAGTCCCCAGGGAAAAAGTGGAACTTGGATCTCCAGGTTATATCGATGATCATAGACTGGGTTTTTCCACAGGGCATCCACACTCTGCCAGAGAAGATCTCACGCAGTCATGTTCTGGGAATGAGAGGTGGGCAAGAGGGATGGGCAAACTGGATTATAGACTGGTGTGGCTCTGAAAGACCATTATGGGACTCAGCAGAAGAATTGTACAAAAGGAACTATAAGAAATGGCATTGCATCATGTTTAGGAATCAGGACTCTGAAGGAAAGGTTCAAGTTTTGACACAGACACTTGTCAACTGTGTGACTCCAGGCAAGTTATTTCACCTTTGTAGACCTCCACTGTTTTATCTGTAAAAAGACTTTAGTCATGGAACCGAACTCTGAAGGCTATCATGGGGCTTTCCTGAATCCTTCCATGCTAAATGCTTGCAGTGGTGTCTCCCAAGTAAGGAGTTCCCATTACTGTTATCCACAAATTTACCACTTGAGAGCTAGTAATAAAGATACATGAATGTCGCCTTACAGTCAGGAGAGTGAGACAGGGTTAAAGGAAATCTGACACACAGATTGAAGATTATAAAAGAAACAGAAGACCAAATCCCTGCCTGCAAGCTCACTACAGTGACATAGAGACCTCTCCCACCATGTAGGGTCCTCACCACAAAGAGAGAGGCGGGCATGTGACAGCACCTCCTTAACCAAGCGACCAAGTTAATGTCATTAAAGATGGGACAGTTATCCAGCACCCCTGGATGATGACCTGTATCATTTCTAGTTTTCCTGCCCGAAGCAGATGGTCTGGATCTGCGTAGGAGATAATAACACCAGCACATAGAGGCAAAGTCTATATGCGGTTCTATGTACAGTTGCTTATGTTCTTCAAGGATGCCAAGGTCAAGGAGGACAGGGAAAAATTAAGGATATATTCCAGGTTAAAGGACATTGAAAAGACAGGTCACTGCTGGGCATGATAGCACACACCCGGAATCTCGGCTCCTTGGGAGGCTGAAGCAGGAATATTGCAAGGTCAAGCCCAGCCTGAGCTATTTAGGGATACCCTGCCTCAAGGTAAAAATGGGAATGTAGTTCAATGGTAAAAACAAAACAACAAAAACTAAGCACACTGGTTCAATCTCTGATCGCACAAAAAAAGAAAAAATATGTTGTCACAAAAGAATGGTTACAAAGGACGTTTGGACTAATTGATGGTATTTGACTACAGATCTTGTACATGGATGACACAGACAGAGAGAGAGAGCGAGAGAGGGAGAGAGGGAGAATAAATGGAGCAAAATATAATCCTTCTTTTGAGTATGGAGAAATAGAAATGCACATTCTTATAAGTCTATTGGAAAGAATATGACAACTATGCAAAAGACTAAAAATTGTATGTAAGTTTCACTTGTAAGAATTTATTTTAAAGAAACAATCAAGCCAATTACAGACATACTAGCCTGAGGATATTCACTGAGGTACTATTAATGTTGAAACATTGGAAATTAAATTTTCAACAATGGAGGACTAGTTTAAAATTAAGCCATGCCTAGTGGTGTATTAACACACTACTAAGCATTTGGGGGGGGGGTGGTAACTGGGGACTGGACGCACAGCCTCATACTTGCCAGGTAGATGCTTGTGCTGCTGAGCTATACCCCTGGCCCCTCTCCAGTAAGCATTTTGATTAAATGTCGTCTCCAAAGGTAATGAAATATAAAATGGAATTAAAACATAAAAATTGAAAAGTACAGATTAAAACAGTCTGCCAGTGATAGAAAAAAACAAAAACTAAAAGCACAGGCCTGCCAGGCAAGCTGGTGCACATCTGCCATCCCAGCACTCAGGAGGCTGAGGCAGGAGGATTGCTGCGAGTTTGAGGCCACCCTTGACTGCATAGTGAAACCCTGTCTCAAAAAAAATATGAACAAATAAAATAAAAAGCACAGGCCCATAAGTGAATTTTCTTAAAGAAAATAGGAAATGCATATTTTAAATATGATCAGTGGGTGGTAGAATCTAAGTATTAATGCCATAAAAAAATACAAAAATACTGGCTTTAATCTCTTTCCATGTTACAAATGCCCCTTGCTAGTTTTATTGTCGTTTCATTTTGCTCCACAGGGATGGGGACAGAACCCAGGGCCTCGAGTATGACGGGCACCCACTCTGCTACACTTGCTAGACCCGCTCCCGCCTCCGCCTTCAACTCCATGTTGCTAAAGCCGTGCTCTCTGTTGAAGAGTCCTTCAGAATTTCCAGCTGATGTTTCCAATAACACAATTCATAAAAAAGCCTCTAGCAACTACAGTTCTTCTCTAGAACATCAAAATGTCCTTCTTTTCATAGGCCAGTACCCACTATGGAATGCACACTGCACACAGGGCTCGTCGGCAAGCACTGGACATTGGGTGGCCAGCACACTCCAGCCATCGTAACACTGCTGTGAGCACTGTGTCCGGGTTTCTGCTCGAGGGGCTGCTTTGCATTCTTTTGAACCTCTCCCTTGGGGGCTCCACTGTCACGTGGGAAAGAGGACAGGACAGTGTAGGAGCTGAAAGGGTGACAGGGAAGTCGTTTAGCATTTATGCTACCCCACCCCAGTCCCCTCTCACCTGGCCCCTCGAGGCCTCTCTGTTGTGACAACTGAAAAAACATCTTCCCATCCCTGCTGGCAGCTCCCAGGGAATGTCCAGCCACACCACAGGACCCTCCTTGGCTCTAGATTGACATTTTATCTTGGCCACTCATTGTAGGCCCCTTTCAGCGCACCAGGCGAGGACAACGTCTAACATCCCCACAGCAGCCCTCAGACACTCACCATGAACACAATGACAGCCAGCTCATACACAATGGATTGGGCTCCCAGCTCCACTGTGCCAAGGACACCTGTGGAGCAAAGACAGATGACACCTGCTCCTGGACAGGATCCCCCACTTCCCCTTCAGGCACCCCGTCCTCTGCACACATACCGCTCAGGAAGCTCCCGATCTCGTAGGCCCACCACTCAATGCACAGCATGAGCATGCTGGGGATGGCCAGGCGCAGGAAGGAGGCCCAGTCCTGCAGGCATTCGAGGGACCAGCCTGCGGGCATGATACACACGTCTCCAACACGCTCCAGGAGGCCACACTCGGCCTGGCAAACCCACATCGCAGATGGGAGAAAAGGCCGTGTTTACCTCCCCACGTGGCCTTGTGCAGTTTTCTTCCCAAGATGTAGAGAAAGAGGAGAAGAGCCAGGGTGAACTGGGAAATGGTATTGGCCAGCGCTGAGCCCCTGGAAAGAAGGACTCCTGTGAGGACAGGCGCCTGTGCCCCAGAGCCTCCGAGCTCTCTCGGGTAGGCACGGAGCTGCCACCCTTTGGTGTGTGCCCTTCTGCAGGCTCTGCAGCATCTTTTCCCCAGGGCAGCTCCCCACCAATGTTCTCCAGGGTGGCACAACTTAAGTGCTCCCCACTAATTAAAGGGCTCACTCCTGTCCCCCCGGAAAAGCCACGTGCAAGTCATCCCTCCTCCCTGTCCCAAGGAGAAGCTGGACTCACTTCACTCCAAGGTGCAGCTGATATAGAAATATATAGTTGGCAAAGGCATTGACAAGGTTGGCTGCAACTCCGGTCACAATCTGGGGCAGAACGATTCCCTGGAACAAGAAGACACTGCAGCCACTCTCACCATGACTTGCGTTAGGCTCCAGCTTGGCCAGCGTCCCGGCAGGAGGGGTCAACCGGGGATACCTCATCCCTGCTGCTCCTACTTCCCACCCTCCCCTCCTCTTTCTCCTCACTTTTGAGCATGAAATATGGAGCTCTGGCCACAGAGTGACACAGGCAGGAGAAGGAAGCTGAGAGATAGCTCGTCTGCAAGGGCAGGAGCGCTGGCAGGGACAACACGTTTAAAGAGGACAGTGACGGACAGTGGGTGAAAGCACAAAACCACCTCAACCAAAACTGAAATTCAGAAAACTGACCAGAGAAGACCTTGTGAAATTAGCATTCCTTTCCGGGAGGTGGAGAAGACTATCACAGCTGACCGCAAGAGGCAGGGGCAGGAGAAACACCTGACCTGTTTACAATCCCAGAGACATAGGGGCTGCCTAGAGAGCTCAGCCACAGGAGTGCTTACCATTACCCACCTTTTGCAAGCTCAGGGGTTCTGCTTGTTTTTGTGCTAACGATTGAACCCAGGGCTTTTGCACTGGGTTACACTTCCAAACACTTTTGTTTTGTTTTTGTTTTTGAGTTAGGGCCTCACTGAAGTTGCTAAATTGCCCAGGCTGGACTTGAACTTACAATCGTGCTGCATCAACCATCCAGAGTACTGGATTACAGCCATGCGCCACACCTGGCTAGGTTTACAGATTGCAAGGACAAGAGGACTTCAGTCCATGTTAGGACAGGAGTCTTGGCTGACCACTTACATGGACCATTTATTTGTCAGGAGCTCCTGGTTAGCTTTCAGCAAGGGAATCTGTGTTCAGATTTACATTTCAGGCAGACAGCTCGGTGTAGGATGCACCCAGGGGAAAGCTGGCAGCAGGGAGACTAGTTAAGATCCTACAGAAATGATACAGAGGACAAATGACAGAAAATGAATTGGGGCAGTGGCACAGCAAAAGAGGAGGAAGAGGCACAACCTAGAGGACCAGATGACTGACCAGTGTAAGAGAAGGAAAAGATGAAGTCACAGGTAGGATGGGCTTATAAAGGACAGGTGACAAGAAGGGAAAGTGCAGAGGCCACTGAACTGGGAGACAGGAGGCAGCAGCAGGTACTGGGGCAAGATGAGCTGGCAGCATATGTGACATGCCCGAGATGCCTAAAGACAGCTAGAAAGGAGGTCTGGAAGCCATGGGCATGCAGGTACAAACTGGACACGGGAAAGAGGGCGCTCCTCAGGGAAGGTCCCAAGAGGCACAGGGCAGGCACCCTCCGCTCCAGTGTCCTCTCAGTCTCCTCCCGAAAGCCAAGGCCTGCCTGGGTCTCCTCCCCAGTGCTCACTCTTTCAGGTTGTTAATCTTCTCCACACACCCAACCACTTCTTTCTGCTCTGCATGGAGTTACTGGCCAGCTGTCTCCCTAAGGAAGCCCCCAAAGCAGAAATTTTGAGTCACAGTGCCACTCTCTCCTGTCCACGGTCCCCCCTACCACCTGCCATCTCCTCCTACAGAGACCACCCCATTATCACAGCTTTTAGTGTGTGGACCTCCATCAGCCCACCGTTTTCACGACTCTCGCCCCTGCCCAGCCCAGCAGTTTGTCTCCTACAAACTGAAATCTGAATAGCAGAGAATAAGAGGTCCTGCTCCACCAGAGCCCGGGTCAATCTGCTAACGCCATTGCCTGCTGGGTCCCCCACACTATAGCAGCCAAACACTCTGGCACCTCCCAGCCCTGTCAATGGTCCTGTTGCTCACTGCCCAGAACGCCCTCCTCCCTGCCCCACCCTGGAAGCCATCCATGTCCAATGTAACCCAGTTCATACCTCCCCAGCCCTCTCAGCTCTAGGTGCTTTCCTTGGCCTTGGGATGAGGAAGGCAAAGCGTTCATACCCACTGTCTTCACATAAGCAAACCTGAACCTGAGGTTAGCGCACCAAGGTTGCTGGTCAACAGCCAGGAAGGAGACCCTGCAGGGTGCTTAGGGATCTCTCTGCTTCCTACTAGACTCTCAACTAAAACAACATGGCCCCAAGATAAACCAAAATGCTAATTTTCTTTTCTTACCTATAACTAGTCCAAGTATATAATACACATGCTAATGAATATGTAAATATGATTGTTTTTGTTAAGATGGCAGTATCCTAAATTAAGGTCATTAAGTAGGTAGGAAACTCCCTCCTTTCCTCCCTGGGACATATTCTGGAAAGTGTGGCAGGGACTTATGACCTGGTCCAGTAGTCCACATCCCACATCATACATCCACACCCATCAAGTGACGTTGGGGCCTCTGGCCAGTGCTGTGAGCCACACAGGAAGAGTCAGGTGTCATTACAATTTGAGCGATTTCTCTAGTGTTCCCACTAGAGAGAGCAATGCCTTTCCGACAGCTGAACAGCCAAGCTGGCCCTGGGGATCTGAGAGGCCACTGTAACCCTCAGCTTTCTCTGGAGAGCAGACAGACCTGCATTCCTCCCTCCAGAGAGCCAAAGAACACGGTGGCTCTGATACTAATAATGCCAATGACAATATTTCTAAGTGAGAACTGGATATGAATTTTCCAGAGCCAAAAGTAATATGTTCTCTCCCTGATATCCTTAACAAACCCCCTCCACATGGAAGTCCCAAGCACACAATCTTGAAAACAGTTTTCAGTCTCTAAGAAGGTGATCTACCTCCACCCTGGATTCCCTGATCCCTGTGTATTTGCAGGGCCTCCACTCCCACAGGCTCCCCCCAAGGAGAAGGACCATCCCCATTACCTGGTTGAGCAGGTATTTAACTTGTAATGTATAAAGAAAGGATGCCTGTAAAAAAGGAAGAGGTGAGTGTTAACAGAGGTGTTGGACACACATCGGTGAGCTGGGAGCCACAGCTGGTTTATGCTGTAACCAAGGCCTGGCTGACCTTTGCTCCTGCTCAGGAATACGAGGCACCATGGGACTGTGGGGTGGGCCGGGGAATCTGTGGTCATCTCCTTTAAGGATGAAAATGATCCAACCTCACCTCCAACTCCCTCAACTGACAAAAGGAAATGTAATTTCCTTCAGTGCATGGCAAGGATTTTCCTGGGGATGCTGAGAAAAAACTCAGAGGGCCCATCCTTGCAGACCAGGCTACCATCCTATTTACTGGAACAATGAAAGAACATCACATGAAAAATACTTAAGGACAAGGCTGGGGTGTAGCTCAGTAGCGGAGAACTTGTCCAACATGTGTGAGGCCCTGGGTTCACTCCCTAGCACCACAAAAACATATACATAAAAAATTTCAAGTATAAAATTAAAATTAAAGATTTTAGGATAAAGAGGGCAAATAGTTATTGTTATGGGCTAAATTATGTCTCCCAAAGCCACACATTGAAGCCCTAACCTCCACAAACATGTAACTATTTGGCAGTCTTTTTTTGGGGCGGGGGTCTTTAAAGCCCTGATCAAGTTAAAATTAAGGAGTCAAGGGGCTGGGGATTTAGCTCAGCGGCATAAGCACCTGCCTTGAAAGCAGGCAGTCGTGAGTTCGATCTCCGGTACCGATAAAAAGGAAAAAGACCAAAAAAAAAAAAAATAAAATAAAATAAAATAAAATAAAATTAAGGAGTCAGAATGAGGTCCTAATCCAACAGAACAGGCACCCTTTACCTAACTACTTATTATTTTAATTTTTATTTTATTTATATATTTAGTGGCACTGGAGATCAAACCTACTCTTCGCATTCAGCTACAGCCACAGCCCCTAATTTTTTATTTTTTTATTTTGAGACAGGGTCTCACTAAGTTACTTATTTTCCCAGACTGCTTCAGCCTCCCAAATCATAGGGATTATAGATCGATTGATTTTTCTTTCATTCATGTGTTCATTTTTTCAATCACAGTACCAGGGACTGAGAACAGGTCCTCACATACACTAGGCAAGTGCTTTCCCACTGAACTACACTCTCAGCCTTTTTATTTTTTATTTTGAGACAGAATTTCACCAAGCTGCTCAAAGTAACAAGAGGATGACCATGTTACATGGCAGCAAAGGCAGCCATCTGCAAGCCAAGGAGAGACCACGGAGGAAAGCAACCATGCCGAAACCTCGACTCTGGATGTACGGCTTCCAGAGCTGTGAAAAATACATCTTGTTGTTTAAGTTCATCCGCCTTTGGTGTTCTGTAATAGAAGTCTCAGGAAACTAATTCAACTATGCTTTCAGCCAGGATAAATTTAGCATTGGTAGTTCATTGACCACACACAACAGAGTATCAAACATTAACACCCACTGATAGGTCTGGGTGATGCAGGAAGGTGCAAAGATCAAAATGGCCCACAGAGGTTCTGAACTGGGTATGACTTTAACCCTAAAATAAGAGTCTGGACTCCTCTTCCTAGATGGTCTCAAAGGGCACTCCAACAGTGGGACCTTCAGCCAGTGTCTATTGGGACTGAATCACCCACCCTAGCATTTGAGGGACAGATGTTAGTTTATGACCTTAATAACCATAATTAAACCCATGCTTCCTGAAGAGGTCAATGTCATGTATGAGAATCAAGTAAGACTGAGCCAGGCATAGGGCTCAGGTCTGCTGCAGCCACTTTTCACCCACAGACACCAGGAAGGGAAGCTCTGAACACTTCAAAACTTACGGGAAGAGCTGGAATGAAGATCATGACATAGGTATGGGTAAGCCTGCAGAATGAAAAGACAAAAATCACAGCCAGTCATAGAGGCCTCCATGTCACCAGAAAGAGACGCAGCGTAACATAACTGATGACTGAAGCTGCCTTCCCCAATCTCCACTCTTTCTAGATAAATGAATTTAAACTACCAGAGCAAGTGAGAAAATGTATACACAGAGCTTGACATAACCCAGATGAGCTTTCTTGTTTTTCAACTTCTTTCAGTGCAGGGCAGGGTTTCTCAGCAATGCACCATGACCACAAAGCTCTCTACTGGGAATGGCCATGCATCACAGGAGGTCTCCTAGTCTTTCTGGTCTCAACCAGTAGCAGATCCATGACAGAAATGTTTTCCAACACTGCCAAATACCTCTGGGTTCAGAGCTGCTGATTTAGGGCAAGAATACAAGTCTTAATCCATTAAACAGTGGATCTAGGGCCAGGGATTTAGCTCAGTGGCATAAGCAACTGCCTGGCAAGCACAAAATCGTGAGTTCAATCCCCAGTACAGGAAAGAAAAAAAAAAAAAAACTGGATCTCAAATGTGGCAGCTCATCAGAATCACGTGGGAAGCTCTGAAAGCTACTAATGTCCAGGTCTCACCTTAATCAATTAAAAGAGTGGAGCAGGGGGGCTGGGGGTTTAGCTCAGCGGCATAAGCACCTGCCTTGCAAGCAGGCGGTCGTGAGTTCGATCCCCGGTACCGATAAAAATGAAAAAGACAAAAAAAAAAAAAAAAAAAAAAAAGAGTGGAGCAGGAGGGTTTAAGCATGCAGATAATTTTAATACTAACCATAACTATAAATAAACATCACAAACTGCCATGCCACATACAGAGGATGCTCACAAATCTCATTGAGGTTGTTGTTGTTGTGGTTTTCCTGGTGCTGGGGATCAAACCCAGCACCTCAGCATGCTTAGCAAGCATTCTGTCTCTGAACTTTGTCCCCAGGAGTTTGCAAATCTAATTCTGTACAAAACTCTTCACCCTGGAAGTCCTCCAGAGGAGTAGGGTTCTAGATCTCAGGAGCCAGATACAGGAGTCACTAGGGCCCGAGTGGGGTCAGTCTAGGACAGCTTGTTCCCCGGCTTGGTGTGTGAGCTCATTCTTGTCCTTTGTAACTCCCAGAGACTGAGCCTGGATGCACGGTCTTTTTGCTGGGCCCACTGAACCCCCATGACAGTTCTGTCTTACCTGGACACGTCTGGGTCCTGCCTGAAGAGCAGCAGGATATGCTGGGTGTTGAGGAAGAGTGCCCAGCAGGGGAAGCAGCAGAGTAGCAGGATGAGCATGCCCCTCTGCAGGATCACACCCACGTGCTTCAGGTTCTGGCTCCCGTAAGTCTGGGGTGCACTCAGCCAAAAAGACGCCATTAGCCCACAAACCATCTCTCCACTGTCCTCCACCCCCAAAGTCCGCAGCTGTGCGGCTAGGTACCCTAGAGACCATGCCAAATGCCTTAGGGAAGAGGCATCCAAGGTGAAAGAGATAAGAGGGTTTACAACATGGGAAGCATTTAAAAAGCACAAATGCTGGAGTCCCACTAAAGGTATTCCGGATTGAGACTCAACAATAATTTTTAAAAACTTTCCCCATGTGACTCCAACATGCAGTCAGAGTTGCATAACCTGTAAACTTGCTAGAAATGTAATTTCCTGGGCAGAAACTTCTAAAGCAGAAACTCTGGGGCCAGGGCCAGTGCTGCGAGGAGACAGCTCTTACAGACATACAGGAACCACACTGCGCACAGTTCTCCCAGATTCATGTTCAGTGAACTCTCTGGGGTACCCTCAGGTTAGCCATCGAAGGGAGGTTTGCACCACTGGCGCTAGCAAATACAGGTGGTGCTCAGCTCAGGGGGGACTGACTTGCAATTTTTTTGACTTTAAGATGGTACAAAAGGGGTATGAATCCAGCAGAAGGAACTTGTGCTTTGAATTTTGACTCTGAATCCTGCCTGTGCTAGCAATATGTGGTGTCCTCCTCCCATGGGAAGCTGGGAGGTGAGGCAAACCAAAGCTCTCAGTCAGCCACATCGTCACAAGGGGAACTGCTGACACTCTAAGGTGCTGCACTGCTAAGAATGCTCCATAAGTTAAGTGCATTCAACAAAGTTTTGCCTAAACACGTGTTTACCTTACAATGGGTACATGGGATGTAACCCCATCCTAAGTGACAAAGCGTCAGTATACACTCGGGGTGTCTCCCTCCCACTCCTGGCCACCTCACTCCAAGGAGGACACTGCACACTCAGCATCACACAGGTGGGGGCCCAGCAGTCTGTGCTTTGACAAACCCTCTGGGGGATTTTGACACTGCTCAGATTTGAGAACCGCAAGACTACAGCAACTAAAACATGAGTGATAAGAGGGGCTTCTAGTTAAAATGTGGCATAAAGCCCTTATCAGACCCACAGTAGCTCCCAAGGCTGGAAGAAATCCACACATAGGTCAAAGAAGCAGGTGAGGAGAGCTGCCGCTGAGGGCTGACTCCCCCTAATGGAAGGGTCCTTCCTTCCACCTGCTCTCGGAAGATGTCTAAGGCCACTGTGAGAACATGACCACTTCCACTTACCTGGGAGATGAGTGTGTCACAAGCAGAAGATAAGCCATGTCCCACAGAAATGCCAGTGATATTGATAATCTGGAAATAAACCAAACAAGCCAGAGGGAGTTAAAAAGATGGGAAGACCAGGTCTCCATCCCTGCCCAGCGAGACCCACAGGGGTGGAGGGAGCTGGCTCTTCTTGATGATGTTAGATTTCCAGTCCCCTTCTACAATTTCCTTCTCCCGGATATGGGGCCGGGACTCTGAGCAGGACTCAGAGCTGCACAGATTACAGGTCACATGATGCGGCAAACAGAATAACACCCCCCAAAGATATCCCCATTCTGACCCCTAGAACCTGGGAATCTGGTCACACAGCAAAGGAGAATTATTGAAGGTTGCAATCCTGCGGCTGTATGCTGACTTTAAGCTCATGGACACCAGGTGCAGGTTTCACTGAGATACTTCTGAAGCACTGGACTGTGCCAGTCTGTGAGAACAGCCCAACGAAACAAACACAGGCAGCTTTCACGGATTCGCTAGAGCCTCACACATACCGCAATGGCCAGGGTGACGGCGTCCAGCTCCAGCTTGCCCAGGTGGCCACAGAACACGGAGCTGATGAAACTGATCAGGAATATCATCAGCTGGGCCAGGAACTGGGAAGAGAGAGGACCAGGAGAGGTAAGCCCCCACCACACAGTCCGGGCCAGGCCCAGCGCCCTCCCCAGCCAACCCTGGGGGGAAGTAAAGAAGCCCAGGTGTCAGGTAGCCACTGCCAGCTTCCACGGGCAGATGTACAATTTCTGAGGGACTCCTTCAAGTAGCAAAATGTTTACTGCAACTACTGGGTCAGAAACTCATGTTTTAATTTTTTAAAAATATTTTAGGGGCTCAGGATATCACTTAGTGGCATAGTGCCTGCCTGGCAAATGCAAGGCCCTGGGTTCAATTCCCGGTACACACACACACACACACACACACACACACACAACTATATATATATATATTTTTTTTAACTGACACACAATAATTTTCATGCTTGTGGTATACAGTGTGATAGTTCAACATAATGTACCCCGTGTGATACTAAGACCAGGATAAGTGGCACATCCATCATCTTCAATAGGTATCATTTCTTTGCATTGGCGACATTCAGAATCTTCTTCATTGGCTACTTTGAATTTTGCAGTTAATTGTTATCATCTGGAGTTACCCTCTATGTGACAGTATACTAGAAGTTCACTCTGGCAGGCTGAGGCTAGATGATATTGAATTCAATCCCAGCTGAGGCAATTTAACAATTTCGTGAGACCCTGTCTCAAAATTTAAAACTAAAAGGAAAGCTGGAATGTAGCTCAGTGTGAAAGCCCTGAATTCAGTCCCCTGTACCACAAAAGTTATTCCTCCATTCAGTTGCACCCCTGGACCCATTAACCACCTTCTCTCCATCCCCCCGAATCATGAGTTTTGAGAATTTCCCAGTTTTTTGGGTGTGTTTTTCACTTTAACTTCTTACAACAAAGATTGCTGTTGTTTCTCCTGAGGTTTCCAGAGGCTGCCTTCTTGAATAATGCCCTTATTATCACAGATTCCCCGGGAGGATTTTCCTGGAAAGAAGATGGACTTTGACATCAAGACCTCACTCCAGCCACCGAGACATTCCACAGCTAGGAGGGCTGGGTGGGACGTCCCCTGGGAGGCCAATGAGATCCAAGCACCCTGGGGAAACCCTACCCATCTCTTCAGCATCTCTAGGTCTTTAATTCTATGCGGGCTCAGATATGAGGGCAAACTCAGCTTCCGGAATACTGAGCCGTCCTTCCAGTGACTGCTGTGAACCATTGTACGACTGGATGCTCAGCTTGTTTTAGAGACTAATTTAAAACCATCTTCTGCTCCCCCACCTGCTACATCCAGGCAGTCCAATATCTTGCTCCAGTGGGAAAGAGGGACTGTTGGCCCAAGAGGGGGTTCATCTGACCCCCCCCCACTGCCTAGGAAGAGAGATGATTACCTAAGGATTTGTCAGGTTTGCCCCTCAGGGCCCCTTTTAAAAACTGATGTGCCAGGATGGTGACCTTGCTGCGTTCCAGTATTAACGCTGCCTCTCACACCTTCAAGGACATGGGCTCCTCTGTGCTAAGCTCCAGCAGGCCAATTGTAGAGTTTCACTGGTATAGCTCCTTGGCCTGGCCTCCACCTGATCCATGCTGCAGCCACCCCAAAATCGCCACAGCAGGAGCTAATTAGGTTTTGAGTAAGCCTCCGAACCATTAGAGAAAAACTTCCTCAGAATTCACATTTGAGAGAGATAGTGTACAATTCTGCTGATGGTCCCAGTCCTTCAAAAAATGAATTGGGCTGGCACAGTGGTGGGTGCCTGTGATCCCAGTACTTAGGAGGCCGAGATAGGATGATCCCAAGTTTGAGGCCAACCCAGGATAAATAGTAAGAGCCTGTCTCAAAAGAAAACAAGGAAAGACCAAAACAGAACGGCCTGTTTCTAACTGTGTGTGTGTGTGTGTGTGTGTGTGTGTGTCTGTGTCTGTGTCTGTGTCTGTCTGTATGTGTGTTTGTGTGTGTGTGTCCCACATGCAGAAATAGGAGACAGCTCTTTCCTGCATCAGTTCCTGACTGCAGACCCAGTTCACACCTATTTTCCGACAGAGCCTCCTGCTAGTAAACAGAAGAAATGTTTATTTAGGTGAACCTAAATAAAATGAGCAGGGAATGGGGATGACAGGGGAAGAGATATGAATTTTAAAAGCTCAAGCTTGAGAGTGTACATCAGTGGTAGGGATCTTTCCTAGCATGTACAAGGCCCTGGGTTTGATCCCCAGCCCTATAAACAAATAAAAATTATGTTTTTTTTAGAAAAAGTTGACATTTCAACCTGATTTTGCAGAATCCGAGGAAGAGGCATTGGACATCGTAAGGGCATACCAGGACATGGTGCCATAATGTAAGTGTTGCCACTTCTCTTACAGATGGCCTGTGATGCATTCAGTGGCATTTGCTGTCTCTTCACAGTTCTGTCTCCCTGCAGGCTACATGCTTTTCAGGACTTCATGTGAAAACATGCTCAGTCTCCCCTACATCGGGCTTTGAAGTGCAGCCCAGATTCTGCTTTCATAAATCCTGCTGCTATGAACATCTCTCTCGCTTGAGTGGGAATGGGGCATTTTCTTAGGGTAAGCACCCAATCCAAGGGTGGGAACAGATGTCCTTTGTACAAAAGGCCAGGAAGTCAAACTGAGTTCAACTAATTCCTGTGAGAGGCAACTTTGGTGTCCACGCCAGCTGAAACAGTTTCTAGGCAAGGGCCGCCACTGCTTTCCTTGGGTTATAGCAGTGAAAGAACTATCTACTCACTGCCTGTTATGGTTTACACCTAGATTCCCCACAAAGCCGCATGTGCTCAAAGGCAGGGTGTTTAAAAGGTGACTAGTTATGGGAACACAACAGCTGACTTTCTATTAGAAGGTGGGATCACCTGGGGCAGGATCCCAGGGTGCATCTCCCTCTCCAGCTCCTCCCTTGACTCCGCTTCCTGCCTCCCATGAGGTGAGCAGATTTCCTCTGTCAGATGCTTCCACCACCCCTTCCTTCCTTGGAGTCAGCCAACTACATGAGCAAAAACATGAGCCAAAGCAAACCTCTCCTCCTTTAACTTGTGGGAGTCAAGTATTATCTCTCATCTATGAGGAATGTAACGAAGACCCTCCCTGAGTTGGGCAGCCAAAGGCAGCCAGCTCTGCCCAAGTCTCGGTCCCAGGAGAATAAGCCTAGGGAGGTTAAATGTACTGATTCTTCACTGATTCTGTTTCAAGTCTTTGGATGAACTCCTGGTCACAGATTATAGTCTGTGCACACAAGGGCCACCCGGGGGGGACTGTTTGGGAGGACTATGCCCTGTTCTATCTCAAGAGACAGATTTAAAAGGATAAAGGATAGATAGAAAGGGACAAGGGGACAGATCTCTTGCAATAGGGAAGAGTGCAAGGGATCAAGGGCGAGGGGTGAGGAGGAGAAGGGGAAATAAGAATAAAGATGTGCTGGGTACAGGAACCTACCACCCACAATTAATGTAAACACTATGCCATAGCATGAGCTAAGACAACCGGAAGAGGATGGAGAAATGGGAGGGAAGGGACAGGGGATGAAAAAAGAAACAAGCTATAATATGTACATGTAACCACGCCTCAAGATGACTGTAAACTGTGTGAACAGCAAAAATGTATTAATAAAATTTAAAAATTATTTTTAAAAAATCTAGTTGGAAAAAATGAGACAGATGCTAAAAGTCTGTGAACCAAGGAATGTGCATTGCCCTGCACGTGCCATCCCTGGCCCCAGCAGAGACTCAGGTGGTCAAGCAGACTGCGAGAGTGCTCCAGACTCTGCCTCTCTGCTCCCGGGAGGCGTGCTGCCGTGCCAGGGAGCTCACTGACCAGGGTAAGAAATGCAGAGAAGTTGAGCGCAGACAAGGAAAGTCATCATTTAAAATCTGTACGTTTAAGGAGACTGCAACTTCAGGACATGAGGTGACGCAGAGTTAGCCATATCTGTGCTCTCCGGACTATGTATGCTTCTTTTCTTTCAGGCCAATCACATCCAAAATTCCTTAAAGATACTTTAAGTCAAGGGCAGGGGATATGGCTCAGCAGCACAGTGCCCTGGCAAGCATGAGGTTCTGGGTTTAATTCCAGGCACCAAAAAAAAAAAGGTTCTTTAGTCCATAAATTAGCTCAGTTGATAAAGAGCAGAATTCTAACCTTTAAAAATAGACTGGGTCCCTGCCTCTGTCCTGTGAAATGTGAAACGAGCCATTATCTAACTACCTGTGGATGGGCCATTGATTTTTCTCCTGTGAACCACACCCAAACTTTTTATAGATTCCCAGGTTCTACCATCAAAAACACATAAATATATCCAGATCCAGATATAATGCACTTCTCTCTGGAAGATGCACACTCTGCTTCTCTGAATGCATACTTTTAAAATGCTGCCTGCTAATTCCTTTATGCCTTTTTATGGATGCAGTGTGAAAATCATTTTTCTGTCATGGCAGTCAGCAAGCCTGTAACCTGCCCTGGGGTGGGGTAAGTCCAGTTTTCCCTTCTCTGCTGTGAGGATCTCCTTGGACACTTCTTGGTGATCTCACACTTCCGGGTAAAGGTTTGTTCCCTGTAGTTTTCAAAGGCAGCTGTCCAACAGCAGTGACCTGAACTGGCAGTGCTCAGGTGGAGCCAAATGAACAATGGAAATGAAGGCTGGGCCCTAGCTCAGCAGGGGCGCATGTGCCCTGAAGTCCAGCCTCAGCACAAGCCCGAAACTGCTAGACTGACCCTACTTCTGTCCCTTCTTCATTTATTTATTTATAGACAAAGGCTTGCTATGTAGCTCAGGCTGGCCTCAAACTCACAGCAATCCTCCTGCCTCAGCCTCTGAGTGCTGGGATTACAGGCGTGTGCCCTCGAACCCAGCTGTCCCTTCCTATCCAGGATCTGTCTCATTTTTTTACCCAGGCAGCAACATACAAGCTGGTATGTAATAAACGCTCCTACAGCGGTCACTTGTGCAAGTTGTGCTCCAGGCCAGCTGCCTACCCAGTTGCCCATGCAAGGGTGTGAAAAGGGCACCTGGCCCCATCCCACAGGGACTTGAAAGTCCATTCTTAGCAGCAAAGGTCAGTGTGGGAAGGCACCTGAGCAGGCAGTCAGCTGGGACTGCTTCCTCTCCTCACAGGAGGGAGCTCCTGCCCAGCGTCACCTGACTTGACTCAGTCACTCAGGACAGCTTCCTGCGCAGCACAGAGTGTGTCCCAAGCACCAGGAGTGTGAGTGTGAGTTAACCCGGTGCCATCACCCCATTCCTACCCCACGGAGCCCTATGGAGGGGCAGGCATTGTGTTTGCAACAAGTACACGTGTGTGCTGAGCTACATGGGCACAGTGGGTGAGGCAGAGAAGGCTCCAGGAGGCAGCAAAGTGAGGCTGAGCCCTGACGGATGGATTCTCAGCTGGAGGAGCAGATGGGGCCGAGCTGGGCTGACCACAGACAGGAGACTGGCCGGTAGAGGGCCAGCGGGAGGCAGTGTCACCGGACAAGCAGCAGGCTTAGAGAGGGCCAAACCACTGAGGACTGTAAGGACCAAGATCAGGGTTTGGATCAAGGACGCGTCAACATAGGTAAACATTCAAAATGGACTTTCGGGGGCTGGGGATTTAGCTCAGCGGCATAAGCGCCTGCCTTCCAAGCAGGCAGTCGTGAGTTCGATCCCTGGTACCGGTAAAAACGAAAAAGACAAAAAAAAAAAAAAAAAAATGGACTTTCGGTGGTCTCGTGGGGTACATTTTGGGCAGCATGAGCTGAGGAGGAGAGACTGGATGTTGGGATGAACCTGGTGTGGAGATGTGAAGAGGGGGGCCCCTCCGAGAGATTTTCAGGATGCTAAAACCAGAGGCTTTGGTGACAATGGGATGCAAGGAGGCTTGGCGGCAGGGAAGGAAGGTCCCAGACGTCTCTCGCCAGTGGCCACCACCTCTGAGTGTGTGCTCTTGTTCTTTGGCTCACTCTTTGACCTGCCTGGAAAAGGAACCATGTTCTTCTACATTTTCTCTTTTCCTCTCCTTCAGCCCAAATTCTCTCCTGTCCCCAGTAACCTTCCCCTGTCACCAACCAATCCCTGCTAAAGATTTCCTCAGGCCTGAGACAATTCAAACTGTCAGCCTCTGTGTGTGTGTGTGTGTGTGTGTGTGTGTGTGTGTGTGTGTGTACACATGCAGACTCCGACTCCCACCATTGGATGCCACCCCCAGCCTTCCCGGATTTTCAGCTCTGTATCTCAGGGAGGTTCTGGACTTCTTTCCCAAGCGTACCGACCTAGGCAGTCACACCTTTCTGACATCAGCCCATGCCCAAGAGGAATCTATCTTACAGGTTCTTCTTAGGACTCTGATAATGCAGCCTGGTAGGAGATGCTAGTGAGAAACAGAGAGTGAGGCCAGGAGCCTGAGGCAAGGTACTGGCCCACTGCCCTTCCTTCCCTCCATGTACCTGCTTTCCTAAGGTCTTCTGCAAGATAAAGGGAAGAGAAGATTTCAGGATGTAAAGCTGCTCAGCCTATGCTGTTTCCTTTACAGTGTGGATTAGTCTGTTTCACAAGACCTCGTTTAAACTGTACACAGTCTATAATCCCAGCACTTGGAAGGCTGAGGCAGGAGGGTGGGATGTTTAAGGCCAGTCTGGACTACATAGTGAGACTCTGTCTCAAAAGAACAAAAAGAGAGGATGGGGCTTTGTTTAGGGCTCACTGGGAAAGTATGTTGGTAAATCCTAAAGCCGGTAAGGCTTTAGGAGACAACATAATAATAATGAATGAGGAAAACAAAGATGTGTAGAGAGGACCAAACTAGCCATCCTGTTCTACGGTAGAGCCATAGGAAGAATCCGGGACACTGAGCAGAGGAAAACAGTCTCCTCCCACACTGTGTCCCGCAGGAATTAGGAAATTCACAGGAGATGGGGAGAGAAATCAAGCGAGGCTCCAATATATAATTCAGAAGACATTAAACCTGTGCCTGAAGTCTCCGGCCACATTTTTGCAAAGCATTCACAAGCACATGCCCACCAAGGTTTGGAGGGAAATTGCCAAATGATTGCCTGGTAGTGAGATTCAGAGATTTTTACTCTTTTGTTAGTCCTGGTTTTCTTTTCTTCCCCCTCCCACAATGAATATGTATTGCATTTATAATAAGCATACCCGTACTTGTGTAAACACACACGTGCACACACAGTCAGTCCAGGGTCGGTCCCAGGAAAGCCCCTCGTCCAGGGACAGGTCACTGGGAGATGCTGGATTTCGGAAAGCTGTCCCGTGGTTGTTGCTCTCACGGTTTGGTGTTAGTAAGGCACTGCTGGCTGTGTAAAGCTCTTTCCAAAGCACAGACGGTTACCGTCACTTTCTGCTTGGATAAGCAGACTGGAAACCCACAGCGCTGTTTCCTAAGCTGCCGTAGGGAAAGCAGGCCGCCCCTTCGGAGCTGTCCTTCCCTTCCCGGCCTTTACCCTTCCAGCTCTCCTCCCAGTACTTCGCTGAAGGGAAGCCCCACCCGGGTGGGTCAGATGTTAACAGCTGGATCACAGAACCCAGCACACTGATAACCTTAGCAAGGAGCCTTAGTTTCCAGTTCTTTAAATCAGTAACACAAATCATGTAAAAAAAAAAAAAAATTGCAGCTGGTCCCAGGAAACTGAGGTCCATTTCTATGGTCTAAGGAAGCATTAAGGATTTCAAAGATGCCACTTAGCATGTAGCTTTCCTTTCCTGATCCTCCACCTTTTTTGGTCCTGATGTCCCCAACATAGAACTTTGAGGTGGTTGCTGAACTTTCTTTACATTATTTATTTATATTTTAATTTTGTTTTGTTTTGAGACAGGGTCTCACTGTGCAGTTCAGGCTGGTCTTGAGCTCACTTTGCAGCCCAGGTTGGTTTTGAACTCACAAGAATCCTCCTGCCTCAGCCTCTTGAGTGCTGGGATTATAGATGTGTACCACCACACCTGGTTTTTTAAAAATATTTCTTGCTACACCTTTTTGAACAAATATTACTCCTTCATTCCAACTCTTCACTCCCAAATACTGTTCTCTGAGCCCTGGCCACCTGGACTTTTAATCCCAGAATCAGAGTCCAAAGAATCCCAGATTTTGAGATTCCAAACCAAGAGTTCTTTCCAGTCTGCAGAGAATTGCAAACACCCATACACTGGATGCACTCCCTTTCGTGGCTTTGTGCCACTCTAGATATCATCACATCCCATGTCACCACCATTCCAGAAGGACACAGCTCCCAGCCCTAGCCCGTGCAGGTGCAGGTCGGCTGCTCCACGGCCAGAACGGTATCCAGCCTTAAACAGGCTTGCTGCTGCTTGTCCAGTGAAGCGGCTCTCCTACCCCTAGGGCTTGAAAACCACCCAAACTGGCCAGAGAACAGCAGCAGGATTATAGCGTTGTGATTCTCGTGGTTTTAAAAACTCTCCTTAATTTTTAAGACTAACGAGGACTCTACTGATCAAGCAAGCAAGCGCGCGCGCACGCGCACACACACACACACACACACAAAGACACTTCAACCCCCAAAAGAACCACACTCTTAAAACTCGGTTTGTGAGCACCATTATAGGCAGGGAGAGGAGTGTTCCGCAGGATGCCCCCTGGTTTCCTCTGCAGAGCTTGACTCTAGATCCCAAACACTGGCTGAAATCTAAGAGTAGGTCAGACAGTTCCCTCTCTCCCTCTCCCAACCTCAGGACACTTACACATCCCAGCTCCCGGGCTTCGCTAATTTGCGAAGAATCAAATTCTGAGTACTAGCTGGCCTGACTTTTGCCTGGTTCTCTGGACTCCCCGTCCAAAGATAACAGCCCCGAGATGCCTTGAGCGCCCAGGTCCCGTGTGCAGAGCAATCGGCCCGAGCGCGCAGAGGTTCCGGGCAGCCCGGCCGGCTCTGTCCCCACCTCCGCCAAAACGCAGGCTGCTACACGAACCGCCAGCGATCCCAACCCGCCGCCGGGACCAGCCTGCAGCGGAAGCCACCAGACTCACCGCAGGACCGGCCAGGACTAGGAGCGCCTGCAGCTCCTCTCGGAAGCCAGAGAGCAGCGGGCAGCGCAGCCCGCGGCGCTCGGAGGCCACCGGGGGCCCTCCGGGACTGGGCCCGGACTCCGAGGAAGCCTCCATGTATTGGGCGCTATGCTGCAGAGGAGCTCGGGCGCCGGGGACCGGACCGCACAGGGCTCCCCAGCTCCAGTCCCCGCCCTCGGCCGCCGCCCCCAGCCGGCCCAGCCAGTCTGCGACCTTGGACGTGCTCCTGAGCCTATGCGCGCTGTGGACACCGCGCGCCCTGCAAAGGCTGGCGAGCTCCAGGGCTTAAGAAGCAAAGTTGGGGAACGCTCTAGAAACTGACAGAAAGCACCTAGGAGGACAAGGGGCTCCCCAGGGCTCGGGCTCCAGGGCTCCCCCGACCCCGGCCCTGCGCCCCTCCGGGAGGTTCCAGGTTCTGAGTGTTGATGGAAGGACCAGGAGGCCTCCAGTCGGAGCAGGGTGGGTGTCCAGCCAGGCGTCTGGGTTGGCCGCTTTGGGGATGTCGGTGGCGCAGCCTGCGCTCCGCGACGCTTTGATACCTGCTTGATTTTTGCGCCGCTGGCCCGCCAGCTGGTCCTTTAAAGACTCAACCAGGAAAAAAGCAATAAGCTCACATTTAGCAAGCAGCACAGTGGGGGTTTTCCGAGCTTCCGGGATGTTTATCCTTGAGCTTGTTGCGTAAGAAAAGCTGTGAGCATCAGATAAATGGAGGCTTGAGAGGTACCTCCCACTCTGGAGCACATAGAGAACCTGCTCACCCGGCCAGCCGAACCTCAGTTTCCTTGTCGGTAAACTCAAAATAATTCATAGGTGAGGACTTATGTCAGTACCATGTGCCTCAGCCCAGCACAGGGTCACTGCCTAACAAACGTGAGTTACAGGACCCAGGATGAGTTCTGTAATACAAAGAAACAAATACAAAATGGCTCGTGTGGCCACCAAGTTTTGATTCAAAGACTTGATTACAGGACTGGGACACAACAATGGCTTGTGTACGCAGGAAGTTTAGATTTAAGAACTTAAAAGCTAGAGCAGTAGTGTTTTCTCCTTCCCTCTGCATTCACCACACCGCCTGAGATTCGCCTTGGTTTTATTTACCCCTGCAGCAGCCTTTCCCCTCTTGAATGGGAGTCCAAGACACTCCTTTACTTCCCACCTGAGAAGCCAGAAAATAAGATCCTTCTCCCTTTTGCTCTTGTTCCAAACTATCAAATAAGCAAACAAAGAGAGAGAGACAGAGACAGAGACAGAGACAGAGACAGAGACAGAGACAGAGAAAACTTGATTGGATCTTGCTTAAGTTTCTTGCCCCCTTCTGGAACAATCGCCCTGGCCAGTAAAAAGGGTCCTGTATGTGGCTGGACCTGGACTGTGCATTGTGCTGTGATTCAAAAAAAGAGTTGAATGCTGTCTGTGACCTTAATCCATCTCACCAAAATTGCATGTATGGAATACAGAGGTTTTCCCAAGAAATGGGAATCTCAACAAATAAAAATTCTTGAACATACACTTGATCTCCGATCACTGATTTTTTATGACTTTCTTATTTATTGATATGGCAGTGCTCAGGACTTGAGTCTGAACCTGTAGGTGCTTCTTGGTCCTCAGTTTCTCCTGACACCATGGTGTGCAGCTTATATTTTCTTGGGTGCAGATGTAAGAGCTTATTTTTCTTGACCTTATAAAATTTCCTGAGATTTTCTTCAAGTCTGGCTAATGATGGTGGGAAAACAGACAATGTGTTTTCTGACAGTTTTGACATGCAGATGCTTGGTGTTATGGCTTGTATCTAGATGTCTCCCCAAGCAAAAATTATCCTGGATTACTGGGTGGGCTCATGAACTCTTAAGAGTCTTTATAAGAGGAGATCAAAGTCAGAAAAAAGGAGATGTAATGACAGAGCGGAGGTTAGAGTATATGAGTTCCTTTTCTGTTGCTATAATACAATACCTGAGGCTGCGTAAATGAATAAAGAGAGGAGGTTTATTTAGCACACAGTTTGGAAGTGAACTGTATGAAGAGCATGGCACTGGCTCTGGTGAGGGCCCCTGGCTGCACCACATCATGGCAGATGGTATTGTGATGGGAACATATGTGAGAGGGAAGGATCACATGCAGAGGCAGGAAGTGGGAGGGATTGAGCTTGCCTTTTCATAACCAGCTTTCACAAGAACAACTCCAAGAGACCAGTTTTAGTCCCATCTGAGGGTAATGTCTTTGGTGACTTCCCGGTGGGCTCCACTTCTTCAGGTCTCGTAGCCTGTCACATCACCACACTGAGGACCATACTTCCAACATGTGAATCCCTGAAAGACACATTCAAATCATATCCAAATTCTAGAATGGAGTGATATACTTTGGATAGAGGAAAAGGCTATAACCCAAGCAATACAGTGCTTCTAGAACCTCCCATTTGTGTATGTATGTGTGAGAGAAAGAGAGGGGGGAAACGAGAGACAGACAGGCAGAGAGAGAGAGAGAGAGAGAGAGAGAGAGAGAAACTCACTATGCTTTTCAGGCTGGCCTTAAACCCACTACGGAGCCCAGGCTTGCCTCAAACTCATGGCAATCCCCCTGTCTCAGCCTCCTGAGTTCTGGGATTATAGGCATGTGCTACCCTGTCTGGCTGTCTTCTAGAATCTTGAAGAGGAAAGAAAACATATTCTTCCCTGAAGCCTCCAGCAGAAATGCAGCCCTGATAACATGAAACCCATTTCAGACTCCAGACCTCTGTGAGAGAATCATTGTGTGTTCTTTTAAGCCACTAAGTTAGTACTAATCTGTTATATCATCAGCCTATAAGTATTTATCAGGAACAACCAAAACTGATTCAGAAGTGAGAAAATATCAAAAACACACAAACCACCCCCAATAGACTCACGAATTAGTCTATTTTCTCTATCACTACAAGAAAATACTCGGTGCTGGGTACTTTATAGAGAAAAGAATGTATTTAGCTCATAGTTCAGGAGATTCAAGAGCATGGTTCCAGCATCTGCTTAAGCTCTGGTGATGGCCTTTCTGCCATATCACACATGGGAGATGATACACAGTGATCACACAGCAAAACCAGAGGCCAGAGGGCCCACCAGTAATCTAAGATGACCTTTGCACCTCATCCTTGAGCTTGTCTACACACACCTTCACCGGGGAGGGTAGCATATCCATGGGTTCCCGGGAAAAGACGTCTTTGGAATGGATAGCTTCGGGAGCCATTGTTCTGTGTCTCCTCTTCACTACCTTCTCCAACTTCCCTGGTTTCTTTGTTTGTTGTGTGTCTCTTTTGTTTTGCTTGTGTGCTGGGGATTGAATCCAACACCTCACCCAACCGGGACAAGCACTCTACTATACGCTACACTCTCACCTCTCCTGTATTTCTTATCCTGATCAACTTTGCAGGACTCAGGCTGATAGTCTAAGCATCTATTTGAAGGATACCTATTGCAATATGGTAAATACTAGAGATTTCCTTTTGTCTTGTTTTTGAAATCCAGTATTATTCTCCCTGTTTTGTTTTGTTTTGTTCTGATTTTTTTTTTTTGCTTTATTCAATGTTCTGTTATTATTGGTTTTATTCTGTTTTGTTTTATTACATTTTCTGTGACTAAGAAATGGACTATTGTGAAGATAACAAGACATATTATGGTAGCCATTGTTGTCCTGTTTTGAAGTTATGTACCACTTTCATTGCTTTGTTTTGATTGGCTCTATTCTGTTTTGTTGTTGGGTTCTATTCTCCTTAAAACAAAAAAAATTTTAAAATTCAAGAGAACTGGGGGTCAAAAGGGGACTTATTTATTCACACACACAAAGAAAAAAGAACCTTTTTTTTTTTCAGGTTTATCAGCTTTGTCCAGAGATCATAAAACACAAACCAGTTGGTTAACCTACAGATATCAAAGGGTTGCTCTCCATTCCAGAGAGAGAGAGAGAGAGAGAGAGAGAGAGAGAGAGAGAGAGAGAGAGAGGAGAGGGCATTTCCTTATTGAGTGATTTGAGCCCATATTGGTGTACAAACAGTATAAACAAAGCTCAGAGTCTCTGGGGCTATCAGGACCCTTCCCCCTGCCCCCCCCCCCAAGCAAACGAACAAAAACCCTTAGCAACCAAAATTCCTGTTGTCAGCTACTGGATAGTGATCTCCAAATGGTCTTATCATCAAAAATCCCACTATGGGAAATAAGTAAGTCACAATGCACAAGCCAGAAACCTGGCCAAGAATTGAATCAAATCTAGAAACTAAAGCAGAAACAGAGCCAACAAATATGATGTCAAAATACGCAGGCTCAGTGAAAGTCAGGCTGTACTGCTTCCGGAAAGTCATCATGGGCAGAGCAATCAAACCCTGAGAGCAATGTTCTTGACTTGGATGAGAGGTACCTCCAAGTGCTCTTGGCAGCCCCTTGGCTCTGGCAGGAAGATACAGCCAGATGCACTTAAAACAAGAGAATGTTATTTGCAAAATAGTTACAAATTCAGACTTCAGAGAATGAATTGCTAAATAAGGAAACATGACGTGTTTTGGGAAGAAAAACAAGACAAACATAAATATTATGGTTAATAAATCTATTCATGGGGAGGCCCCAAAATATTCACAAGAAAATTGTACCCATGCAGGTTGTAACAGATTTTCAGTTATCACATTATGAGAATCAGAAAAAAAGGTATTTTGGGTCAAGGAGTCAGCAACTTATAGGAATGACTCAAACAGTATTGTTAGTGGGTTTCTAGAATGTGTCAGAGAGACCTTGTGTGGTCGGGTTTGCTTTACTTCAGAGTGCAAAATGTTTAGTTTGCAATTTTCTCCTGACCTGGGGATGTGACAGGTGCACTTCCTTGTCAAGGTAGCATTCCAAGTCGTCCATGTTATTTCACAAAAGAAAGTGAAGCTGGATTCCAAGGTATCCTGTCTTGGGCCTTCCAGCCTGCTGGGTTTCTTACTATCTTTGGTCCACTCTGTACTACAGGACTTCCTCCTTGTTGAAGAAAGCACCCTGACTGATACACACAGATTTGTTTTTTCATGAACAGGTGGCTGATACTGTCTTTATCCTTGAATTCAATTATTCCACTGGACGTTGTCTGAGAGAAAGTTCCCCTCCATTTTTACCCCGGCTCTGCTAGGCCCTTTATCTGCATGTGTACAAGCTCGCTCATGTCAGTCAGGTGATTCTCAGTGACAAGGAAACCACCACTGACACGCAGCTAACTCTTCAATGTCCTTCCAAACCCTAAATCCAACTTGTCGACTGTGCGAGTCTCCTTTCCGTCACTGTAACAAACCCCCAAGGTAACCAGCTTGTAAAAAGAAGAGCTTATTTGGACTCCCAGTTTCGGAGGCTCTGTTGGCCTCCTACTTTTGGGGTCTGTGGGGAGGCCGGACATCATGGCAAGGGGTGCCTGACTGAGCCACAATGTGAAGAAAAGGTGAATGGACCAGGCCTCACAGCTCTCCCCAGAGTACCCCCATGATGACCAGAAGACTCCCCACAAGGTCCCCTCTTCAAGTTTCCACATCTCCCAACAGCACAGCACTGGGGACCAGGCTTCCACCGGGGCTGTGAGGAGCTGTTACCCGAACCCTAGCGCCTCTGTTGTTCTCAGTGCCACAGTAAGGTTTCCTCTCAGGTTTGCCAGGGGAGAACAGACATCTTAGCTAATTTGGGTTCTGTCTTATACTCTAATACTCTGTTTTAAGTATCTGATACAGTGAGGTGGCCCTCTGGAATGTATTTTATGCCATTGTGTACTCCTATGTGTTAGAGCTCAAGCAGGAGTGAACATGAATTGTAATCTTATCTTGCTCCTTCTCTTTGGAGCTTAATAAACATTTGAAAATCATTCCTCAACACGCTTGCCTCCCAGGGAAAGTAAAAATAATGCAAATTGTTAACATCAAGATAATTCTAGTCCCTGTATACATGAGACTCTAGCAACCTGGATGCTGCTAAACTGACAGCTTGAGGTCACTCTCTGATCTGAGAGCTTGATTATAGTGGCAAAACCCGCACCCTTTCCCTTACAGTCTTGAAATAGGGTTGAGGTAGTGGAAGGGGAATGCATGTTGGTGACTAATTCAGGCTGATTAGGGGCTACCCCTCGAATTGGTATAGTATCCTGTGTCGGGAAGGGATGAGCAGGATGAATATGTTAAATAATCACTATGGCTGTCTGGTTTCCAGTCCATCAAAGGAGCTTAAAAGCCACTACTTAATCCTAACAAGCGAAAAGTTGAATAAACTAAAAAATCAACAACTCAGGCAACTCACCCAGGACCCCTTCTGTCTCTCTCAGATGGAAGCTTTCTCTCAATAAATATAGTCTGCTCTTAACCTCCATTGTTCCTAAAATTCATTCGTCAATTTTAGAGAAAATGAACTGTAGTGAACATCTAGTAGGTTGGGAGTTTCATCCCTCTATATCATTTGGAGGTTCCACCAGGATCATTGGATGGAGGGGAGAGTTTGCTTTTGTTTCATAGACTCTGGACTGGGACACATTTAGGTAACAAATTTTTATACTTCAAATTTTGCTTTGTCTTTGCTCATTGCTTATAATTGCTTATAACTGTCTTGTGTCTTGCAGAGTTTTATTAAAACATGGAACATTTTTATTATTTTGTTCTTGTACATGTTGCATTTGAATTAGTTACTAAATTTACTGATACTCCATGCTTGATTTTTTTTTTATCACGCTGAGAAAGCCAGGAGTCGCCGTCCCAACCACCTATGGGAAGAGTCACTGCTCTTTAAGCATGCCCACTTGTCCCCATTTGCTTCCCCATTTGTCCCTGATTTCCACCTTATGCCCACCTTGCAAGTTTCCATGTTTTCCTCACCTTGGACCCATCTTACCTCGTGCTTTTACTCTATAAAATTCCCTGGAAAAGACAGAGTTTTGGGCAACCTGCTCAGGACCTCTTCTGTCTCTCTCTTAAACAAAAAATTTCTTTCTCTCAATAAACATATTCTGCTCTTTTAAAAAATCAGCAACTCTTAAATCTATCAGAGAAATGAAGTCACAGGGCCAACCACTGCCACCAAAATAAGCGAGCAACACTGACAGACACAGAGTCGAAACTTACCACAGGAAAAGCTCAAAAGGGAACTTCTATAGGAACGAGCGCAGGGCAGGGAAATCTGACCTGTAATTGACAGATTGCCAGAGGCTGAGTGCAGACAGCTCTGAGGATCAAAAACCCCACAGGGATCCAGTTACTGAGGGACCCAGGTTTGCGTAAGTTTGACTTCCAGGACTTCGACTTGATCCTTGCAGTGACTATCAGGGTGAAGTCCCAGTTGTTGGG